GACAATGAAAATAATATATCTCTCCACAACAGTCTCATGGTTTACATTGTCAAGATATAATTAGGATGTCAATGTCAGTAATTATTGTACCCACTGCAGTAGTATACATAGAATTTATATCTATTTTTGATTATAACTCACTGGAGGAGATTATCTATTCGTTCAATGAGACGGAAAAAATTCTCGTTGCTGGTCACCAAGCTTTCTGGTTTTAGACCAGCCTACCTAACCACTACCTTCTTGAAAATGTTTTTGTTATTCTTTACCCTACAGAGTCTATTTACTTGTGCCAAGTTTTTTACCAATAATTGTTATTGCTACCATTTTGGTGACTGTCAGTCAGTGGTCAACGTTTTATTAGTGTCTCTAACACCATTGTAATCATTTGCATTTTTGGTAACTTTGCAATAACTTTAAGATGGTGATATTTTATCATATTAGGCCCTTTATTAAAATTGTTGCCACCATCCTAGCGTCTGAAAACAAGACCTATATTTTCTGCGGCCTCTGTTGGAATTCATATGCAGTCTGTAAATGAATAAATATGCTATCTGAATATTTGATGCATCTATTCCGCCATGTACAGAGTATTTACTGAGTTACATATGAAGCTTTTACAACAAATCTTTTCATCTAGAATCTACAAGTAGTATTTGTGTATTACAACAAGTTGATGAGTTGAACAAGTGTTTTTCTTTAAACATACAAGAATTATAACTACCTCTTCATGCTTTGATGTCAGATTGAATTAGATAGATATTAAATGTTATTTACTTTAGAGTCCAGAACGTTACAACAAGAAAACACTTCATTTCTAGTTCTTACATAAAATAAGGTTTTCCAAAATGCTGGTCAATTCCTTAAGGTCAATATTTTCCCTGATATTTTCTTGCTCATCGGAACTCCCTTAAGATGTATTTGTTCATATACTTTCAAATCAAACCAGCAAAACTAATTTTTTACCAGGGAAGATGCCATTCAAATATGATATTCATAAACAACAAATGAGTGCATGGTCGATACAGGATGTCTTGAAATTATGGGACCCCCTCTAGGCAGACATGTGCCAATGTCTCCCTAGTATGTGTCATATATCATTTTAAAGCTTATCCAAAATTACATTGATTTCCCAAGTCTCATGATTCAACTTACAAATCTGAAAAAGTTACAGGCATTTTAAAACTTAGTGTTTGGGCAAAATTTAAGTTCAGAGGGGTTCCATACTTTGGGGACACCCTGTATATGGCAGTGACTACTGACAGAGCAAAGACCTTTTTGTGGCCAGTGTTTGGCATTTGTGTTTGGGGTTGATGTCTAGAACAAATGTTTATACTTTTGTTAATGTAACCAGGTGGTCACATTTGTCTTGTTAATGCTTTGGTTTTCAAAACAATTCATCTCAAGGTCAAAAGATAAGGGGTAATATATACATGTAGATGTATATATTTCAAAATTTCACTTCATCATATCTAAAATAAACTTGATATATTCTGAATGTCATTGACTCGAGGATATACACTTGAAGATTAAATAGTTGGGTAGGGGTTAATGATGTAATTCACTTGGAATCAATAGTTCAGAGAAAACCAAAGACAATTCATCTAAAAGCATTCATTCGATCAATCAATACCATTTATAGTCAGCTATATTCACAAAGGAACAAGTAGTAGTTAGTCTCTCTTAAATCATTCATCTTCAATATTTTTAGATATTAAATCCAACTCATCAACCTTGGGGAACTTAACTCTCAAAAACACTTATGGTAAATACATTAAAACCTGTATGTGTACTGAAGACAAAATGTTCAGTGTTGGGAGGTGCTCACTACAGAGATGGTAATTTATACAGAAGTCAGTAGAGTATGTGTTGAGGAAAGGTGTCTTCTAGAGACAGGTGTTCACTAGAGACAGGTGTTTACTAGAGAGAGGTATTCACTCAGACAGGTTTTACTATACATGTATTTCCTATAACTTGTGTTTGTTCATACTTATAAAGCATTGCAATGTATCTTTGCATTTTGATATCAATGTAAGGACCATGTTGTTCATATATATTCTGGGTTATATAGTATGAGTATCAACATTATAAAAACACTTGTTTACTTCTTGATAAACTAATAACTTCACCTACATCTAATTATCAAATTATACTGGGTTAAGTAAACTTTATATGTCTATGATGATACTGATAAGTGTTTTTTTAAAGATCTATGTGCCGCTGGTACTAATCGAGAGACTATTCATTGGACTATTTGTAGATAACATCATGTTATGTGTTCAAGGTAGACTGAACTTGGTTATGATCATCATGATAAACTAATAAAATTAATAAAAAAGAAAAAAAAATCATGATAAACTAAGGCATCTTCGGCTTGATGATGAAATAGAAAGATGTTATGAGTATCAAAATGGTCATGTATTAATAAAAGAATAACTGATTTCAATCTTGTTTTTAAAGTTCTATATCTTATTTTTGCATATGAGGATCATCTTTAGAGCATAAATATTTATAGGGCTTGCTTTCATATTTTGACAAATTACCTTTTCTTCGGAGTATTGACTTGATTAAGCAGTGTCAGTGGTACATCGTTTATATGCATAGATGATCACTGATAATGACCCTTTCTCTATGATTTATCATCATGGCAATATTAAAAGATCGTCAAAAACAATTTTGTGGAAATGAAATTTTCCAGAGTATATATGAATATGATGGAATGATTTTGTCGTTATTGGATGTCATCCGGACCTACTGAGGCTTCATTTGAAACGACAAATACAGAAATAGAGAATGCACTTTGGGAGATACAGAGTGAGTGGTGAATCTGAATTTTAAATAACTATATGTCAATAGACGATTATTTAGGAGATCATGATCAATAAAGCAAGCCACAAGAGAGTTTTGGATTCATTTATTATATGAAATGAACTCATTGTATTCATTTACATGTAGTTCATAGACGCTTCTGAATCCCTCTCATTCATTAAACTAGACAACAAGCTCTATTTTTCATTCATTATTCTTCTAATGTATAGCATAGAATGCTCTTGCTCTTTAAATTGCTGGGACTGTCATGTTCTGCCAAATGGGCTACTTAGAAACACTCAGATTGTGCAAGATAATTTCAGTAGAACAAAAAAAGTATACCATTTAATAGATACTAGTATATGTACCATGTATTGAATTATCATCAAATAAAATTTCAACTCTCCAGTACTATTTTTGTTTTATTGGCATTACATGGGATGAGATTAAGTTCACATTTTAGAATACCTAGTCATGCAAGCAACTTAGTGTCTAAATTTTATGTAGATATTTTTCAAGTAGTTGTTCCGTCAAGTGATACAGTTAGTTAGGTTATATTGAGTGTTTTTTAGAAAAATAAATGAAAATATTTTCAAGCTTAGCAATGTGTCATCTTACATCAAGTCCCTTATACTCCCCCCCCGACCCAACCAATTCCCTTCCCATGTGAAAAAGATAGGAAGTGCTCAAGTGTCAAAGACCAACTATAGTAAAACTTATCTACAGTGAACACATTTACATCCATAGGTTTTACTGTATATATTCAATCAATACTGTATGTAATCAGTCCCTTCACCCTATCTGTGTAGGAGTGTGAAACTGCCTGGTTGTACCAGTACAAGACTATTACACATCAACATTTGATAGAAATAGAATCTGTTACTGCATAGTTTCCAAATTGAAATTTAAGGAATAAGATATTGAGAAAAGGACAATAGAAAAATAAGTATCACTGATGATATTTTTAATTGTTATAGGTATTAGACAAAATGCAACTCTGGAAAATTAAACATATCTCTCTCCCATACCTTAACCATTATTGATTTGAAATAATATATGACCTAGGAGGTTGTCACGGACACCAGTCATGGGGTAGGGTGTGCTAAACTATACTGTTGTCTATACTCACCAGAGGGTAGTTTATAATTAGACTTTGCGTGCAGGGTTAACTAACTCATGAATCTAATTTTATTTTTTCCTACTCTTTCCAAAATTCAAAACATTTTATGATAAAGTTAAGTTAGATATTTCCAGTTGTTAATGTCCAAAGTTCACCAAAGGTGATATTAACCATTAAATGTTAAGAAGCAACTGCACAAATGATTCTATGTCATAATTATTCAAATTAAGTCTTCTCGCTACTTATGAAAATTTAACGTTTATTGATAATTGAATCACACAATGATTTTATTGTTTGCTTAAATTGATTAGTAAAACCTGTTGAACATTGTACAAATGTATATTATTTTGACGGGATAAGTAATATATAACAAAATAGTAAGTAGCATATTACAAACTGAAATCAAATTACTTCGCATTGTCTAGAAGGATGGATTTGGATTGAAGGATTGAATATCTCATCCATTAACTCAAATTAGATGTCTATCAGCTGTCATACAACATTTTTGTAATTATTATTATGCTTGTGCAATGTTATTGAGTGAATAGAGTTGGTAGGATCTGTTAAACTATAAGACAGTGAAGGATAGATGTCTAACTGATATAAGGGAATCTAATTGGTTTAAAGATTGGTTCATTTGAGAGACTATATCAGACTTCTTAATGGAGTACACATTTATTGATTGGAATACATTCTTGGTAAAACATAATAGGACTGTAATAAAGCATGCTCATCTCTAAAAGGAGCCATAGATCAAAACAGAAACTGAGATACAGAAACAGAATGGAATATATTTAGTTGATTGGTTGATTAGTTGATTGATTGGTTGATTGATATGATTTTGTCACCACCACAAGTGGTGACATATTGTTAGAGTCTCCATTCAGAGTTCATTGTCTGTAACAAATGTCATCTGAAACAAATGGCAGGTTGTGACATTTTGAAGATGGTGACTTTTTGCCTTGTGTTCATTATATTATACCTCATTGTAATCAGGTATGAACATTAGGATTTGTCTAAGGATTACAAACCAAAGATTTTATATCTTATCCTTGTTTTGTTTTATGTGTTGCAGGAAATGCCAACCAAGTACGTCAGAAACTGCCTCAAATTGTGGAAAGTAGTCGGGATATGTGCACATCTCTTCATCACTGTTTGACTTTATTTACGCAACAGGAAGAGGTTAGTCTTACCCTTTGCATTCGTCCGACTTCGATTCTTAAGAATGAGCTCTGTCTTAGTTTATAACTAGACTCTGCATGTAGGGTACTGGTAAGTCTGGAATTATCAAGTGTGATTTTTTCTTTTGGAAATCGATCATCTTCACTTGTTTCAGTTTCACTCCATTTCAGTAGAGCCTGAATTAGGAAAGATGTGAAACACCCTTTCCAATAATTTGTAGTTTGAATTTGCTTCAGCTATACTCTTTGAGTTAGAGACAATCCTTTTAACCAGCATCACCCAATAAGAATTCGGTCAATGAAAATCTAACTACCCATTCAAAATAGCAATCATCTAATTTCTTTACCCCGGCCTCATATCTGACATTTATACATTGTATCTCTTTAGAGCTTGACTACTAGGCTTTTGTACAGGGTAGATTCTTTAATTAAACTAAAGTAAAGGTCATCTTTATGATTATGTCATGTTATTGTAATGAAATCATTGTTTTCATGCTAATTTGGATGTCTCAGTTGTACATAAGTTTTTGTGTTTCACAGTTTTACATAATAGTGTTAATACAACACAGAAAGTGAAAATTTGCCATAATCTAGGGAGGGGTGGGACACTTAACATGTATTTCACTTTGAATGGCCTAATGTTCAAAATTGCATTTATTGACAACTTTATCATAGCTGTGCAAATAATCATCTTGATCCACTAAGCCAAATTTAAAGTACTATATGCTGAATAATATGATAACATTTATATATAATATTTATTTCTCATAATGTACTCCACACATCTGTACTATATAAAGGTAAAGTACATGTACATGTATGATTAAACATAGTATATGTTTACTTGAGTCTCTAGCCAATACTCGGCTACAGGGGATTTCATCTGGAATACTGTGAACTTCATTTGAAAAAAGCTGGCCGCCGTGTCATAAATTTATTGAATATTTTAAAAATCGCCAGATAAATAAATCATTAATCAAAACGAACCCCACTCGGCTCCTTGATGAGATATGACATGATTTCATCAGGATTTCGTCTAAAATTAAAAAAAAATGGCGATGTTCGAAAACTGGACAAAATGTCGTTAACGTCTGACATTAGTAACTGACTGTAAATTCTAAGTTAGCGATCCAGAAGATGTGAACTAATACACTGATCACTTTATGTGTGTTTTGGAATTTTTGGTGAGGTAATAAGACCAAAACTCGCAATTCAAATTGTGATGTGGAAAAATGGCGTACATATGATTTCAAATTTTATGATTATGAATATATCTTTACTGGAAGGCTACGCTACAGTGGCCTTAGAGGTAAGTATATGTATTCCATACCTACTAAGGTTCTAGGTAAATAACGAGCGGGAATATATACTGTATCTATCCCGGTCCCGCTCCTGAAAAAAAAAATTCCAAATTTTTTTTCAACATTTTTTCAAATATTTTTTTTCGAATTTTTTTTTCAATTTTTTTCAGATACACATATTTCCCTTGGGATAAACCCTGTATTCAAAACCTCCCAGTACATAACCCTTATGTATTATCCCTGTAAACAGACACCCATTCACAAAGTAATGTTTTAACCATTTTTATAAAATTAGTTAAAGCTAATGCAATTCTATTAACAAAATGATGAGAGCAATGAAGTGTTTGTACTTCACAGTTGATTTCAGTTTGGATTAGGGCCCAACATTAGATTAACCTACTTCTTTCTTATATTATTCTTTCCTATAAGTTGATTAAGGGTCTTTTTGAGAAAAAAATCCAGTTTGGTAATTGCGCATTCAAAAACAGGCCAATATGCTCAAGAACTATCCATATATTGTGAAGAATTATTAATGTCAACTTGATGACACCACAAAAGGGTGAATTGCTTCGCTTACCGATGTATGAACCACAGAAATACCGGTGTATGAATAACTGGACAATTTTCAAAAATGTATAACTTAAAATGTATGTCTTTGCCAACAATATACATTGGCAGTAATGTACTACAGTCTTCACTTACTCAAAGTTAGCTGTACTGATTTCTTGAAACAGAGCATTATCACAACTTTGAACCAGTTACAGGTAAATACAGGTATTACAGGTAAATTTTCATTTTAGGCTTTGTATAAAAAACCTCCTACCTCATACCCACCTACGTGGGACATGATACAGTCATTGAAGGGTTCAATTTTCAAGATTTTTAAATCTCAAAATAGCTCTAATTATTAACATTTCTACAATTTCGACTTTATTTTATGACTTTAACGACCGCAAGCATAGGTCCAACAAGCCAGATTAAGAAATTGAAAGAAAGTGTGCTAAATTCGATGCCCCGAGTGGAAATCGAACCCAGCTGGGCTGTAGTAGCAACTTGCTATCAAGAGTCGTTAGAAATGCATCTATAATTCATCATAAACTAAGATTTAATAAACTAAGATCTTTAAAATTGAATCCTTCAAAGACTGTATCATGTCCAACGTATGTGGGTAGGTGGGTATGAGGTAGGAGTTTTTTTTATACAAAAAGCCTTCATTTTAACTTGAACTTAAGCCAGATCAAAAACTGATGGCCATCCTGTTATTGCTTCATTGTCGTGTTCGCGACTGTCTTTCTCCACGGAGGATTGCCAGCCATTATTCAAACTCGATACTCCGTTGCCGCATGTGGAAATTTTTTTTAAAAATTGTTATAAAATTCTCTTTGGACCAAGTATTTCGTTTAAAGATGTACATTAAGATTACTATGGTAATATTCAAGTTTCATTGGCAGTTCTAGTCTTCAAAATATGAGTAATACTGTTACCAAATTGGTCCACGCCTGGGAACTGAGTATTGAGTATGTATTTATTCTCTTAACTCCTTTCAGTAATCTCATATAGTTGTTGTCAACAATTGTTGATTTATATTATCATTCCCTACACTTATAAATTCTTAACAAATTAGAATAACTGGTTCATTACCCTGAGTGTCAGATCCTAGTTATTAGGCTCTGAGTATAGGAGAGAAAAATATACAGTCTTGATGTTGATAAGATTTTAAAATGACACCAAAAGTAGCTGTCATGGCCTTTAACAAGAGTTTAACTTTGAAATGAAAGCCAGGTACATGTACTTACGAAAGCATAAAATTTAGTGAATGCTATTTTGATTGGGTAGCTAGATTTTAGCAGACCATAATTTTAATGTTTTAAATTATCTCAATGTTCTAGAAATAATCTCAATATTCTGATTGTTTAAGCCTAACTTTTTATTATAACTTTTATTGATATACAGTATCAAAAATATATAAGGTAACAATAATAGTGTGGTGCACACACAATGCATTATGACCATGCTAAATTCTTAAATGAATGGTAAATGAATTTGCCAATATGTCTTTGCAAGGTTACATTCTTACTAGAAATAAGACAAATACATTTTCACTTTGTAAATGATATTTGCCTATCCTCATCATTTTTTGTACAAGTTAAAAAGAAATGACATTCATCCTCTACATCTTTACAAATATTGCATAATCTTTTCTCTATAGCCCCATGGTTGAACATAGATGAAGTTCTCTTTTAAAAAGCCAGAATTGAATTATGCTGTATTTGTTAGGAGATTGGTTCATTTGACTCCAAATGCATTTACAAATTATTCTAAAAGAATCTATTTTTAGTACGTAATAATATTAAGAATATCATAGATTCTACATTTAAAGCTATTGATTGTGAAGGTATCAATAACAGAGTTATTTTAACCTAACTTCCAGTTACGAAAACTGCAGTTAAAACAAGAAATGGAGAAATCACGAGTTCTTCAAGACGCGCTTCATGCGCTAGCGACAGAGCATCACGAGTTGGAAAAATCTGTGTCAGAAAAGAGGGCGCCAGCACGATATGATACCGACGATGATGAGTTTTATGATTGTGATGAAGATGAAGATTCGGTAGAACTTCAGGTACCAGGTACGGAATATCTTGCATTATGGGTATTTTCTAGTGGAAATACAATAAATTGCGATTTAAGATTTGAAACGCACTAATAGATCTCAAATCAACATGATTTTAAAAACATGCTTTTACTTTTATGGTGTTTTGAAATGAAATTTATAACAGTGCATGTATTTATGAAAAATTATAAAATCAGATTATGTACATAAAAAAATACTTGGTTGAGGGGTCCTCAACTTGTATAAAAGGCGTTATGTATGCTTACAGTTCTTCCAGAGTTACATATGCAATTAATGAATGAACCAAAGAGTTATTATTGCTTACTTAACATGGTGGCAGACAAAATGCAAACAGAAAAAATCAGCAACTAATTACCAAGTTCATTTGCACTTATTTTCAACTTTTATCACTGATTGGTGTTTATTATTAGAAAAAATCTTGTATATGTGAATTACTTTTACTCCTACTCAAAGTGTCCTTCCCTTACAAATCAAAAAAAATTGAATATTTTCCAACTGAAAATTTTTAATTCCAAATTTTGAGGGGATATGTGGCATGGATATCAGTAAATGGCAATAAAGTCTGTATTATAGTATTGGGTAATACCATACTTTATTATGCACCTAGTTTAGATACTGCAATATGATTGGTTCTAAACTGCTTGTAATTTGGCAATACTCTGCTCTTTTCTGACATAGCCTACCCTGAATCCCCAACCCATCAGTCAACTACACTTCTCTGAAAAATAGTGTGAAATGAATGTTCACCTTGTTTTATTCAGAAAATGTACTCACATGATTTTCTAACTCTATATTATACTTTTGGTAAGGCAAGAAGTGTGCCTAATTTAAAGAGTAGAGACAAAGTCCACTTCTTATAGAGGGTATTGCTCTCTATTGCATTTGTAAGGTAATAATGAACAAGATTGAGAACTTTGAACTACATACTTCACTAAGTATAATCAAAGGTGATCAATAACATTCTGTTATCTCTGTTAATTCAAAATATTATTTTGTGTTGATATTTATTTCATTCTACATGTCTTTAGGATTTTAGTGAAGTTGTAAATTTTCCACATTTTTACATATTCTTTAATACTGGGTCCATCAGTGTGGATGTTATTCTGGCGTGTATTTGTATTTCTGCTTTACTTTTAGAAAATATATCATAAACATATTTTTTTAGCACAGGGCTCATACTTTTTTCATTAAACTGAGTAATTAATTGATACAAGATTCTGATTTATTATTTGCATAGAACTTTGTTCAGTACCATCTTAAGACAGCACAAATATAACATTAGCGCACATTGAAAGTCAGCACACATTGAAAGTCAGCACACACAGAACGATAGCATCACATATAGTCAGCACATATTTGTAAAATAATTTCCTTGCAAGATAGAATGATTACCAGAGGAAATGAACAAGCTATAAACTAAACAGGCAGATGTACACATCCCCATTGAGCCAAATGTCTAAACTTAACTTACTGTAAACAAATGCAAATGAAAATCATGAATTTTCTTTTCTAGAAAAAGAAACAAGAACAGGGTCATATGGATCCTTGCCCGATAAAGACTTCTACATGGCTGATGACAATACATTGAAATCAGACAAATCAGAAATGGATTTAAGTAGTATTGATGCTAATAGTAAAAGAGATACTGATAACGCATTAGACAATACAACAGGAGATAATGCCACAAATGCAGTACAAAACCCTAGTGCAATTTCACAAACTACGGCCAAATCGGCTGACTTTTACATTGGAAATGGAAAAATGGACAATGGACACAATAAGTCTGTGATAATTGGCAATAGAAGGATTAAAACATGGAATTGCAGGTAGGTAATATTCATTATAGACTACAGTTACATTACATTAACATGTTCTTGCATCAAGCCTAAATGTGTGCCTTCCTCACTGGTCCCCTCCTGGTTATAAAGACATTACCTCGACCTCCTTCTTGGTGAAAATATTCCTCCAACGGAAGTTCATCCATTTTGTTATAAAGACATAACATCTTTATAACCAGTAGTATTCCTTCCATGTTCCCATTACATACACACTAGGTTGAAGATAATGTACAACACTGCATTAACATAAATATCCCCCAAATGAAGTTTGTGTAGGGATATAGAAAAGCCAGCTGTCTGTCAGTATGCTTGTTCATATTTCAATCCCTCTATCTGTTTGGCCATAATTCAAATATCAGTACTTTGATAAATATTGAAAATACATGCCTTTAGAGCTTTTAAGGTGTAGCATCTGTGCTGAAACTAATGTCTTCTGGACAAGTTCTATCATACAAAGAGTTCTGCATGAATGATTTGCCAATATATTGACAAATCCCAGTTATAACTTATGTCATCTCTATATTCCTACACAATACAACAGGCATGAATTATTCAAAGGGTTTGAAATTACTTAACTGAATCACTGAATGCAAGTCAATAATTATAGTAAGTAATCCTGTTTTTCTAGAAATCTCATACAGGAGCCACCAATTTCTTTATTCCTATTGTAAATAAATGAACCATGACTCATGTGCTCACACTGAGATTTTTAATATAACAAAACCGAGAAGATTATAGAAATAGCAATCTCATGTCAAATAGATGCTATGGATGGCCATAAAAGTGATATGCTTATATTTGCTGATAATATGATTTCACTTTGTTCCAACAGACAGACTGAAGGAGAGTCACATACCTGATGCTATATCCTCACTATTCGAGCCAATGATTGGGTATTGATGATTTTAGAACTATTTTGATAAATAGATGTCACCCTAAGTTAACTCAAAAACTGAGTAGTGCATTGTGCATTCAAAAATTTATAGTGCAATTTATCAACAGATGTATTTGAATGTTAGAAGCATCCGGAAAATATACTGTCAACTTCAATGATGTGATGGTATATGGGGAAAATCTAAATGCATTAAGATTGAATCAGTAATATAACATATAAGGAAGAAAATGTTGTATTGGGCCAAACAATCATTCTTATATAGCAGTAAGGGGGAAGAAGCTTATCTGATATCTCAGGGTCGTCAAGTCCTGTGTTGGGAGGATGCAACATTCCAAAAATATCTAAAAAAGATTTGTGATATCTTATCAAATAGAGAAGTTGCAGATTAAAGTTACAGAACCTATTCATCAGTTTTCTATGTAGACTATATAAATGTTGGTATCTAATGATGAAATCATCAAACGTCAGTTTATAGAACATAAATGATAGATCGATGGAGATCCACTCTATTTCTAATTACTTTGAAGATCCCTATTTTACAATGAATGAACTGTAATGGGTTTAATTGCTATTTTAAGTATACATCTGTGATACCATAGAGTGTAAATAAAAGATAAGAGCAGCTGATGCTGTGTTGTAAACCCATGGACACCAGGGATTTGCTCATAATATTGATTTATTAATCAATCGGGACCTGTTCATTGATGACTTGGCTTGGATGGTAGAATATATTAACTGGAAGTTCTATTCTTGTATTTATTGGTAAATTTATTGGTAAAGTAAAATCAATGTGTGTTTGGTGTAAAAGTTTAGAAGATAATGGTTTAAGTGAATGCTGAAGGAGTTAATGTTTCTAAATGGCAAAGGATAAAATGGATCGAGTTGGGAACATAATGGAATTTAGTATTCCTGAAAACTATGCATACAGGTAAGATAAAAGTTTCATAGTGAATACAGAGAAAAAATTTATTGCAAGAAGTGTTTATTTAGAAGTGGTGATATACTGTATTGTTATTGCCTCTATTTTTGTTTGCCTGGTGATTGGTAGCTGCCATTCATTCATTCAACATCTGTGACAATTGTTACTTTTTTGTTATGTATTCATTTCTAATGAACTAGTTGGTGGTGACATTCTCTCAACACTTTGTTTTTAAGTTAGAGTTTCTGATATAGTGATGGCATTTAGTTATCTGTGTCCATTTTGATATGTTGATCAATGATTTTCATTATGATTTCATGTAAATGTATTTACTTTTCTACTTTTTAATGATACTTTTTTTTGTTTGTATGCAGACTAAGATCTCAACATTTATAATTTTTAGAGGCTATCAAATATTTAGTTCACTTTCGAGTACTGGTTACAATAGTTCTAGTTCTGAAATTTTTTATTGTTGAAAAACCTAGCATAATGCTATCACTATGTGTATTATTAAACAGTAAATAAAGTTCATTTTACGTTTCCTTCTTTGAATCTATATAATAAAAAACTGAAATCTAAAAGGACCTATTTAGCAAAGCTGTTTCAATAAATATTCAGTGTTTGTATTGTTACTTCAAGGCAGGTTTTTTAGGCATATTATACTTGTGCAAGTCTCATAAATAATCTGGATTCTAAGGAGTATTATTTGGTTATGCTAGTGAGCACCGCTAATGAAGTCTCAAAAGAGATTAAGTCTCCTTACTTTTGTAGTTGATATTCAATTCACAAGTTGCCTGCTATCCACTATCAATTTAGATAGTACTATAATCAAGTCAGGTAGGGGAGTATTTGATGGGGGAGGAAGTCAGGTAGGGGAGTATTTGATGGGGGAGGAAGCAGAGTCTTGATGCAAGCATAAGCACAAGAATAAAGTGAAATCTGTCTAATCCAAACCCCTGAAACTGACCAAGTGTTCCAAGTGTTCAGATTAGCAGGTGTTACATTTCAAGATTTTATAAATCTTTAAGTCAATGGGAGATAACAATATTGGGACCAAGAAAACGTGTTCACATTGAGAGATGTTCAAATCAGAGGGTTGTTCTCAGATATACAGGTTTCACTGTATATATAAATCATATTCTGTATTTAAATATATGAGCCTGACCACAGGAAAACCGGTCTTATCACAAAAATTAAAATTGTGCTACAGAGCCAAAAATGTGCCCAAGATTAAGAGGAAAACATGCTCAATTTAAATCCGACTTTTTGGTCTAAATCTGCAAGGGAAAATAGTGAAGACACAAGCCATGGCTCATTTGAAAGGTCTCTTTTTGCTTTTTAAGATAAACAAAAAATCAAAATATTGAAAAAATCTGTGATAAGACCCCTTTTCCTGTGGCCTGGCTCATATGTAGTTTTGGTTCAAAACTATAACAGATGTTATGAATACCTTGACATTGAGAATGAAATGAAAGTACAAGTTTATTCTCAAGATTTATGTTATGTGCATTTCCATTGAATTGAACAGGAATGCTTGTTCCAACAAGCTTAACAGATTTATGATCTTCATCAATTGACCATTTTTTGTATTTTCAAGACATTGAGAAACTCATTTTCATAAAGCCTAAAACATCTTTATATGGACTATAATATTCCGAAGTATGATTTTGATTGTGCTTGTAATTTAAGGTCAAAATTGATAATCCAATCAAGTACAGTTCTTTAGGATTTCAGTAATCTAGCACCAACTTCAAATCTCTCTAAATTGATTGTATGGAATACAGGGGATTTACATTTCCCTATAGATCTATAAATAAAACCAGTAGCATTGACAATTTGATCCCTTGTGTTTCGAATAAATGCTGATTGATTTTCGCTAGAATACATTTTATCATGAGTGAAATAGCAATAGAATCATCATGAGGATTAACACAATTTGTTTCAAATAGAAACAAGTTCAATGGAATTAGAGAGTAGGGTAGAAAATGCTGATCTTCATGATCTCAAGTACAACGTTCACGGCATATCCTTTTCTATTAGATATAGGATGATTATGTTAGCTTCAAAAAGTATTCAGGCAATCTCTTAGCAAAGGGTCATGTGTAGGGGTTGTCATGAAATTAAAGACATGTATGTGGTAAAACAAGGACAAAATTATCATTGAATTAAATGATAATGAGCTATTACAACCATGTTGTTTCAGTTTCTTTGCCACTGCAGCAGACATACTGTTAAACAGTGTATTCCTTCTGTCATATGTAATACCTTGATGGATTAAGATGGCACCAGATAATTGTGGTTGATTTATTGAGGTTGATTTACTGCGGTTGATTTTCTGCAGTTGATTTATTGAGGTTGTTTTACTGCGGTTGATTTATTGTGGTTGATTTACTGCGGTTGATTTATTGTGGTTGATTTACTGCGGTTGATTTGAGGTTGATTTGGTTGGTGTACTGCAGTTGATAAACTACAAAGTTCTCTCAAAAAATAAATCCCTCAAAATAAGGATTTCAATAACAAGTATGACATATCTTGTTGATATATATTAACAAGGCCAGAGATGTGACAATGTATAAAAACATGTAATGATTTTGGCTATTTAGATGGCCTAAATCACCAAGCCTTACCAAACTACTGCATTTCTTCAACTTTCACTTTCTGCCCAGGGACATGTTTTGAAACTGGTTCAAGACTAAGCTCCACTCAACAGTTAATCAATTCTACATTCTTCATTCCAATGAGAGGCTAAATTAATTATTAGACTCTCTTGTCATCAATTAACTAACCTATCAATCAATCACAGAATCAATGAACATTATGAAGTTGGAACTTGGAAGTCCAAACAAATGGTAATCAACACAAAACATTGTTGTTTATTGTGTCATGGATATCATACAGTGAAAGCAGCTTTAGTCATGTGTTTTTTTTACTGACACTTGAAATCTGAGGTGTTCACTAAATCAGTAAATATTTTAGAATCTGATAATTGTACTGATTACAAAAGTGGGATTGTCATTTGATACAATCGTAGCAATGAACAATATCTAAGCTAATAAGGGGCGAGGGGGCACATTAACTGTTTAATGTCACAAGTAGTGGGCCCATTAAACCCAAAAAGAATTTTCCGGCCCACTCAAAGGGGGAGGGGGGGGGGCAAGGGGAAAAACAAATTGTGGATCTTGAAGCCACCTATTGAAAGGATGGCTGAAACTCCATTGTAATACTATTATGGTGTGTGAATCCATTTATCTCTTAAGAACCAATTATTCACCTTTTCTCTCAAAAACATGATAAGTTAATTATCCCCAAGAGTTGTTTACCGGGGAAAATGTCTCATTGGCAGTCTATTTGTGTCATTACCATCATTGTAAAAGTGGTATACTATTCTTCATTTCACTCTAATTCTTTAAGGATTAAACAGTTGGTTCTTTAGGCCTTTATGGTATTGAGTAGGACACCAGTTGTACTGTGCAAATGTGAGGGCTATTCTCAAACACTATTTGTGACATACAATGGTTAATGTTTAGGCTACAGTGTCTCATGTATATATCGATGCATCTTTAAATTCAATGTCTTTGATCTCAAAATATTGGATGTATTCTTTGGATGAAGTCAGTAGATTTTCATTTTATGACATCACCAAGAAGTGGTGACATTTTGTTGTAGCCAGCATTTTTTGTGAATAGTGATCACTGTTATGTAGGTAGTCAGCAGCATTTGTAACAATATGTTACACTTTTATAACCATTTGATGTAACTCGTAAGGTATGATTAATGGTATTTTATCATGGTTATTTTCTGTTTTGTGATTTGCAATCATTTTTGGCAGTCAGCATTTTGTAACAAAATGTGACACTTTTTTACCATTTGTTGTACCTTATTAGGTAATGGTATTTTATCATGTTTATGCCTTGCCTTGTTTTTCATACATTCATATTCTCTATTTTGTCATTTCAGAACAAATCTTCCAGTAGAGATGTTTTCCAGGAATGAATTCAGTGTCTGGAGCATACTCAAACAATGCATTGGCAGGGTAAGTAAACAATTACTCAAACAATGCATTGGCAGTGTAAGTAAACAATTACTCAAACATGCATTGGCAGGGTAAGTAAACAATTACTCAAACAATGCATTGGCAGTGTAAGTAAACAATTACTCAAACAATGCATTGGCAGGGTAAGTAAACAATTACTCAAATAATGAATTCAGTGTCTGGAGCATACTCAAACAATGCATTGGCAGGGTAAGTAAACAATTACTCAAATAATGAATTCAGTGTCTGGAGCATACTCAAACAATGCATTGGCAGGGTAAGTAAACAATTACTCAAATAATGAATTCAGTGTCTGGAGCATACTCAAACAATGCATTGGCAGGGTAAGTAAACAATTACTCAAATAATGAATTCAGTGTCTGGAGCATACTCAAACAATGCATTGGCAGGGTAAGTAAACAATTACTCAAACAATGCATTGGCAGTGTAAGTAAACAATTACTCAAACATGCATTGGCAGGGTAAGTAAACAATTACTCAAACAATGCATTGGCAGTGTAAGTAAACAATTACTCAAACAATGCATTGGCAGGGTAAGTAAACAATTACTCAAATAATGTATTGAAAATTGCCCACTCATTCACTTATCACACACACAAACCTTAGTGAACACCTATAGAGCCACAAAAGTGTTTACTGGAGGTAGTTGTTCACTACAGAGAGGAGATTTTATACAGGAGTCGATACAAAATATGTCTTGAAATGGTGTTCACTAGAGAGAGCTGTTCACTAGAGAGAGGTGTTCACTAAGACAGGTTTTACATAAAATTTAACTCACAAAAGTTTAATTACATTGTATATGATCTTGATCAAGTATTTTTAAAACATGATATACATGCAAAGAATAAAATATTAGACAGCCACTAATTTGTATCAATTTATACCAAATCATTAATTTATCCATAAATATACATAAAAATGTCATAAAAATACAAGGACAATACCATGCAGCATATCTGTGATAATATTCATTAAGGTTTACACAACAGACAGGATGTATACAAATAGTCATGCAACTTTTCATTGTCATTTCTTCATGTTTGCCTCCCAGGTGACTGTTTAAGTTATTGATGTACATGTACAGCCTGTTTTAATTGCTAAATGTTTAGCTTGCTGTCATCGTGGATGTCACCTGATCCTAATGGCTTTCTTGTCTATTTCAATACATACAACTGTATCTCTCCTCTGATACTTTCACATCTCTCTAAAGTTTCACTTGCAAAAATGACTCAAAAGAAATGAGATGGTATGGTTTATCATAGCATGCAACATCTGTCATATCCAAATTTTAGTTGCAAATGTTTCTTCTTACCTTATCAATATACCAATCTCTTTATCAAATTCCATATGGAGTAAAATAAAGTTCATATAGAGCACATCAAAGTCAATATACACCTATAGCATATTAGGGTCTGTATGGAGCATATCAAGGTCTATGTAAAACATATCAAGGTCTATGTAGAGTATATTAAGGTCCATGTAGATTGTATTAAGGTCTATATGGATCATATCAAGGTCTATATAGAGCATATCAAGGTCTACAGAGCATATTAGGGTCTATATAGAACATATCAAGGTCTAACTAGAGAATATCAAGGTCTAACTAGAGCATTTCAAGGTCTATATATAGAGCATATAAATGTCCACATAGAGCATATTAAAGTCCATGTAGATTATATTTGGGTCTATATGTATCAAGATAAACCATGACATCTCATTTCTTCTTAGCCCTGAGATGTTTCAGGTGTAACAGAAAAATGCTATGAGTATCAGAATGGTCTATATGGATCATATCAAGGTCTATATAGAACATTTCAAGGTCTAACTAGAATATATCAAGGTCTATATGGAGCATATCAAGGTCTATGGGGCATATTAGTATCTTTATAGAGCATATCAAGGTCTATACTGTATATTGTACATATCAAGGTCTACATAGACTATATTAAGGTCATTATAGAGCATATTAGGGTCAATAAAGAGCATATCAAGGTCTAACTAGAGCATGTCAAGGTCTGTGTAGATCATGTCAGGGTCTAAATAGAACTAAGATAAGATCAATCAATGACAACCTCCTGGTTTCTATCAAAATAAGATGATTATATTATATCAGACCAAGACTACTGTGCAAGGGTCGTCAACAAATCCAAACTAATGAACTAGTGGCATTTATTCAATAAGACATTCAGGATTTTACATCTCTTAGAGTATGTGTATGTTCTTAATAAATGGATTTACTGATTCCCCTGTAATCCATTAGGGATTGGTTAGCTTAATACACAAATCTGTATCTATTATGCTACATCAGGCCGTCACTAATTCATATCAATTTCATTGAGTTCTAAACAATTTTGTTCTTGATGATCATATTTTATTCTCATTTCTCACAAATATTTGTAGATAACAAGTTTGTGCATTTTACAATTATCAAAATTGTTTTTATCAAGGAGTAGTATATTATTGTTCAAAACAATCCTATTGGGACTTTAGTCTAGAGAATCTCTAGAATACCCAAATATGGCCTATATCTGTATATTGCATGTAGAGACTCTAGAATAACCATATATGGCTGTGTTACACCTGGGGACATGCTAGAATGCCTATATAATGGCTTATATTGCACCTACATACTCTCTGGAATGGCCATACATGTCCCATATTGCACTCAGCATCGACTCCCTAGAATGCCCATATTTGGCCAACATTCTACCTATCGACTCTCTAGAATGCCCATATTGCACTCAGCATAGACTCTTTAGAATGCCCATATATGGGCCATATTGCACTCAGCATAGACTCTCTAGAATGCCCATATATGACCCAAATTGCACTCAGCATATAGACTCTCTAGAATGCCCATATATGGCCCATATTGCACTCAGCATAGACTCTCTAGAATGCCCATATATGGCCCAAATTGCACTCAGCATATAGACTCTCTAGAATGCCCATATATGGCCCAAATTGCACTCAGCATATAGATTCTCTAGAATGCCCATATATGGCCCATATAGCACCTTCATCGCTATATTGCATGTAATAATTATGATAGCTGAAAGGAATTAACTGGGAGATTAGTAAAGACATTAATCTTGCATTAAGTCAGCTAATGCTGGAGATATACCAGAGCTTACCAGACTATAATGATTCCCTTCAGGGAACAATGATGTGAAATGAGATGATGTATTCACCAAGTACCATGTTCAATGATTGTGCATCCAACACATGGTTAGTACTGCACACCTATTTGGCTCTGTAATGACCCTTGATAGCAAGTTGCTATTACAGCTATAAGGCCCTATTGGCTTGAGCGTTAGAGCATCGGACTTAGGAGCGGAAAGTCCATGGTTCAATTCCCGCGAGAGCTACTCCTTTTTATGTCCAGAATCTGGCTCATTACACTACAGCTCCCTGGAGGCACCTCGGGTCATAACATCTCTTAACATAGAATACCCAAAGATTGAAGAAAGGAGATGGATGATTTTGACTGTAATTTGACATTAAAACTGATGTTAAAACATGATATTTGTAAGACTTTCATGGTGACCCCATGCCACATTTGTCCATTTGCCTGTCAACTGTCCAATTCAAAATAATACATGATAATTCCATCTTCGCACGCTCGGTCTTCATTGCGTTCATCCCCTTCGCTTATTTAGCCGATACCTGTACACACTATGTAAACACAGCTGATCGCCTTGACCTTTGACCGTGAATCATCTCAAAATGACTGACGGGAGCCGAGTGACAAACAACCAGCTACCTCCATTTGAAAGTAGCTTTTCAAATAGCTATTTTTAGTTTGTTCATAATATAGAATCATCAATCAATACTTTCTTTCAATGATTGATGGCTCATATAATATATTACATATGTTTTATTCCACAAATTGTCAAAAATATTACGTATTGATGAATTGTGGTTAATGAGGCCATATGCTTGCATGTGATGTAAGACACATCTTCCAAACCTTATAACTAATGAACTACTGGTGGCATATATTCAATAGATAAGCCAGTGATTGTATACAAATTGCATAATCATTGCATGCAGCTATCTGTATGTTGAATATATATAATGAAATACAGTAAAACCTGTCTATTAGAACACCTTTGGTACCTCTAAAAGTGTTCCACTTGGGAGGTGTTCCACTTGTTCCCTTAACATTATGTCAGTTGGTCTTGGGACTTGAGTCTTTGAAAAACGTTCCTCTGACAGAGATGTTCCACTTCTAGAGGTGTTCCACTTTACAGGTTCCACTGTACATGTGCTAGACTTCATAAATATTGTTGACCCTGGTGGGTACCTGCTAGAATGGTTTACTATCACTATTTAAAAAGGATGCATTATGATATAGAATTTGAATAAAATAACACAATTTTCAGCTCTACATCTATATAATATATTTTCATGTTGTGTATGGAAGAATCTTTCAACACACAAGAAATTTTTGCAAATATTTTCTTCCATGACTGATTCTTAAGACATACTTCACCGCTGATAAACCATGTTAACAGAGCAAAGATCTGAACCTTTGGTAATTGTAGGAAACACTGAAAAATTATCCTAGAAAAAAGATGATTGAAATCAGCTGATTGGCACTGGGAATAGAATAGGATTGATTAATTGTACCATTTCGCTGAACTCCTCTTTCTATTGAGTTTCTCAGTTAATTCACAAGGCATTGTCTTCGCAGGGAAGCACGTCCTTCCATTTTATTTTCAAAATTTCATTAGCTGAACAGGACTTGAAAAATGAGATTATCATTACAAGATATTGGAAATAATTGATTTCTTTATAACATGTATTGATCAAAGGACTACTTTTTTTTTTACTTATTACCAAAAGTGTTTCTCGCAAATTTTCTGATGATTTCCTGAGTTTGGTTAATGTTGATTGATTACATGTCTTCATCTCTGATTATTTTCACTACATTCTCGGAGTAATGGTTTGAAACAGTATACAATCAGATTTGTCTTTGAACTTACATTTATTGACTTCATTAAGCTTAATGCTCGAACCAAAAAATGGAACTTTGCGTAGATTGTTCCCCCCTATTGCAATTTTGCATTTTTGTACTCTTCAATGGAGGAGGCTAGAAATGTCAAGATTTTCTGGACACCCAATAAGTCGAAGGTTGAATGTCGAAGGTGCAGGTCGTAGGGTTTTTAGTGGGTCCCCATTTTAACATTGTTTCTCACTTTTTCAAAGGAGTAAGGCCATGAAGAAGTTACAGGATGCAAAGCTGATATAATTTTCCATTCTCGCATTTCTTGCACATGTCATATAATCATATCATTTAATTAAATATAAATCCTCCAGAGGAATACCCTGACAGAGAACAATCAACTTATAAAAATCCTATATTCATTCAATCAGAGCAGATTATACCTGTGGATTAAATGACGTCACAACCTTATGAGTAGAATAAGATTGATAGGGAATTTTCAATACACTCTGGTATATAATATTTTTATCACACTGAAAAGTTGCTATATTGTCGTTGTCTTATGCTGATGGGCATTTGGATGTGTGGGGAGGCGCCGCTAACCTGTTCAACATGAAATTTTGACAGACAAGATGTAAGAGCAGACTATGCCAATATCTACTTACGTTTTGGGTATGAATTCTTTGATAAATCTGCCATTTTGAATTTTTCAACTTGGTTCAAATCTATTACAGAATTCAATACATAGATGCGAATCTATGTCTGGGCTTTACATATACCTCATATATATGGACTTGTATAACTTCCTCGCAAATATTTACTATTATCTTTTTATTGATTCTTTCTGTTAATGAACTTTTTCTTGTATAAGGAATTATTGATGATAGTGGTAACTGGGATCATGGTCTTGCATGTCTTCTGCAATTTACCTGTATAAATCTCAACCACTATATCTTCATCTTTATTCTGCTTATTCTCGAAGAATTAGATTGGACACCCATGCTTCTGTGGTATTCATATTTTGCGCAGAGTTTGAAATATCTGTTAATTAGCCATATTGAAATTCGCCTGAATTTGGTTCTACTGGTCGAAAAGTATTGGCCCTAATAATATTTTATTCAGTGGTGTATCTATAATTTGGTGTACTGTGGTATGAATTGAATGCAATACCTTCATTAGTGCCTGTAGTAACTGTAATGAAATCTTTTTTATTAAAGTGCATAAAATGAAACAATGGAAAATCTCACTTAATGTATGTTGAGGGAGATGCCAGTGAAAGGTATGGAATTAATGATTTAGGGTTTGACTAAAACTTCATTATTTTTTATTGTTATTATTCCATCGAGAGTACTTTGTCCTGATATACCAAATAATTTTCATTTAACTAGTTTCAAGGTAGATGTAGAGCATAACCTTGGCCTTCATTGGATTCTTCTTCAATGTATATAATTATAACTCACAGCCAACTGGTCAAAATTGAATTATGGACTGGTTGCCACATTGATTCTCTATACATGCTGCATATTTGTTTATTAGTCTTAGCTTTTTACTTATTTTAAGAGTCTTGCACACATTTCTTTAGTCTAGTGCCTATTTGTCTTTGTATTTTGAGCACATTTTCATTTTTTATATTCATTACTCGAACAAGGTCACCATCAAACATTGTAATTGTCTTACTATTAACACATGCATTGATTTCCAGTAGAGGCTTCAGGCCATTATTTACACATAACACTCTATCATAGTATGATATTCTTCCTAAAGAAGGCCTTTGAAGTGATAAATGTAATATTGACCTCCAGTTAGATTCAATAACATGGACGTCAATTGTCAATACTAAAGTGTGTTCCATTGATTTGGTACATTGGGTAAAGTTTACTTTAGATTAAAAGTGATATTCTCATTTCTCATACTTGTTTCCACTGTTACGAAAAACAAATTTATTTTTTTGGTGAATTATCTAGATTACGACCTATGTTATAAATTACCCAATTACTAGTATTAACAGAATGTGAATGAATGGTTCATTATTAGAAGTATTGATTCAATTTGGAATTCTTGGTGCATCCTTATCAGGCATTTTTGGATTTTGGGATCAGTTGGTATACACTACTTGATAGAGGAAATAATGATGATAAACCTATTTTAAACTCCAACCAAATTCAGTTATATCTTGGATCAATAAGATTATTAGGAATATGAAACAGCTCATAAACAAATGCCTGGGAAATGTTAACCACAAAATCTTTTTGGGTTGCATGCTCAAGAGAGAAATATTCCATCCTTTTTTGATATAAATTATTCTGTTAGCGTGTCACAAATCTACATCATATAGCAAAAAATAAATGTTCCTCCATTTAACTTAAAAACAGACTAGTGCCAACTCGTGAGTAGGTTTTGAGAATGTTAGGTTATTTACAAGATGGGCATTTTGATTATTATTTTTGAGTGCAATATTTATCACTCTGTGTCTTGTTCAAATGTTATTTTCATTAACATGATGCGTATAGCTGTCAAAAGTGAAGATAAAAGTAATTTCCAAATGACAAAATTTTGTATCTTTCATTTTTCATGACATTTTCATTTAGTGGAATGATTTGCAGAGCTTGTTATGAAGTCTTCCAGAACACATTTATTTATAAGCTACCAGCATGTCCTCTCCAATTGATGAAATATTATATACTGCCTCGTCATAATTGTTGCATATTGCATTGATTTGATTTCATCTCTATTGTCATGCAATGAAGCAATTGAAATATTGATCAGTCCAAAAATCAATTAATTATTACTGGTACAGTAAAACCAGTCTGATTTGAACACCTCTGGGACCAGCCAAAAGTGTTCAGATTAGCAGGTGTTCACAATTCAAGGTTTTTTAACATGTAAGTCAATGGGATATAACATATTTGGGACTGAGAAAAAAGTGTTCACATTGAGAGGTGTTCTGATGAGAGAAATGTTCGTTCAGTCATATACATGGTTCACTGTACTGTATATTACCAATCTATAAGAGAGAGTTCAATGGCCCCAAAGAACTGATACTAACCTTTCAGACGTTGACTCGAGAAGGTTGATAAATGATATCAAATACATTGTATAATCAAATTATTATTCCTGAATATTGAACGTGTACAATGTTCAAGAAATCAAGAAACAGTGAGGTGTACATTTGAATTACTAAGATATGTGATACTGTGTATGTGTCCACTAAAATATGTGTTACTGTATACAGTGTATATCCACTAAAATATGTGTTACTGTACACAGTGTATGTCCATTAAAATATGCGTATTGCATACATCCATTAGAATATGTGTTATTATTCTGTGTATGTCCATTAAAATATTTGTTATTGTGATTTTCAGGAACTTTCCAAGATCACCATGCCTGTAATCTTCAATGAGCCGCTCAGTTTCTTACAGCGCATCACAGAGTACCTAGAATACGCTACACTGCTGCAGTACGCCAGTCACACTGATGACCCTGTGCAAAGACTGGAGGTCAGTAATGCATTAGTTATGCATATGGATTTAGATTGTTGAATGAAATAGTGAAACAATAGAGGTAAACTTTCTGTTACATGTTTGAAATTATGAATCTTAATATTGCAATATTATTAGATAAATTCTGATATTTATCAAGAAGCAAAAAGAGAAGTTGAATCTTCATGTGCCGTTTAGAATTCATTGAAAATCCATTGAAAATACATAAAGTAGGTGTCAAATTGGCTGTGTGTGCTCACCATTCGCCACCGTGTGGCAAATTTTGAGCATTGATTCTTTAATTAATTGATTAATCTTTGTATTTGGTATGGGGGGATATCATGCTGTAAATCTATTTGTTTTGCCCACCATGTATCCATGCTGTGCCCTGCTGACTGTCCTAAAGTATTCACATGGTGGTGAATGGTGCAACCACATGGCCTAGGTATGACAGCTCCATAAGGCATGAAGTACATGTACATACAAATATCAGAAAACCATATTTTATTTAAGTTCCCGAAAAAATTGCAAAAATAGTGAAGTATAAGGCAATTTTTACGATGACATCAAATTAAACCAGAGACATGGTCTATTATTGGATTGTCTCTGGTTACACCATTGAACTCATTTTGCCAACATCATTTTGTACTTTGAAATTGACCGGAATTCTTTTATCGATCTCTTTTACCTTATTAACTTGATTATCCTACTATTGATGTGGAGAAATATTAGACCTATTATTATAACTAGCCTATAGATCAAGTAAATGGAACTCTTCTTTGAAATAGAGAAGCTGACACGTTCATTTCTGAGTATAACATATCTATTGCATTACTGTAAAAGCCCAAATTTTCGCTGTCAAAAAAATTCACTATTTTGTCAATCTGAAATGTTTCATGGGCATTAATTTCCACTGTTTGAAGAAATATCCAATTGAATTCAATGTTCAATCAAATTTTCACTGTGCCTTCAATTTCATCGTCTAGCCTTTCCAGCGAAAATAGTGAAAATTTGGGCACTTTGAAAATTTAGGCTTTTACATCGTATAGTACAAGTAACCAGCCGGGTGTCCTAAAAATTGTACCCAAATCAAATTGTGAAATGAATTAAAGTTTCTTATCAGCAGAAATCATTTTATTGTGATTTTCTGACTTTAATAGGTATTCTGATTTGGCTACATCAACAAATTTTTCAAATTTGATGAGTTCTGACGCGAGTTTTAGCTCTTGTTAAGGGTAGCTAGAAGCAATATTGACCAATTTCTTTTTTATGATATTTTTCTGTTTGCTGAAGTAGGGATTTTGATGAGGACGAGTGCATTGTTAATTCAAGATTTTTTATCAGTATTACACTAATCAAACATTCTTGAATTCTTGATGTTTTTGCCTAAGGGAAACGGTTACAATGGATACCAAAATATATTGAGAAAGATTGATTTCCTGGCCCACAAAATCCATTTGTCATTTATCGATCAAGATTAACAAATACCTCAACATGAACTATATCAGAGGTTTCTATAGCTAATATTCTGTAATATGTGGCAGTGTTTTCTCGCCTTGGCAATATGCACTGACTTTATTAAATACTTCTTGTTTGTTTGTCTGTTTGTTTGTTAATGCATTTGTTTGTTTCTTTGCCTGTTTACATCTAAATGAATCTTTTATAAATTGCTATCTGCGGTTGGCCTTGGTGCTACATTAATACAAATGTTTTATCTATTTGTTATCAAGTTGATTGGACTTTGAAAGGAAAAGGCAATCTGGCAATTTCTCAGCTTCCGCAAACACAGGAAGTCCTGTGATAACCATTGGCCAAATCGGTCAAATGGTATTTGTTTGCTAAATGAAATGAGCCAGAATAAGCTGAGCTGATTTGTTGGCTAATAGAATAAGACGCAATTAAAGTAAATGGTGTTGTTTAAGCCTTAGCATCTGTAGTCATGCAACTATTGGAAATATATGATGAATATTTGGTCTAAATATTGCTGATTTTGTGGTTTCTTGTTTTGAGTTCTTTGGTTCAAAATTTTGGAGGAAGGTTCTCAACAGTTTCTCACGAGATGCTAAATGTAATCATTTATTCCGTTTGAAATGGTCGACCCTTGTAAGTCTTGACTCTCCCCCCCCCTATCTGTTTCAACAACAGTTGTTAAGTCCAGGGTCTTGAAGCAAGATTACACTCTTGTTTCATCCTCCGTTCACAGAGCTTCAAAATCCAGAATACTTTTTTCTTTTTACCCCCTGCGATAAGCAGTTAGTATTTCCCTGATTAAGAACTCGCAATTTGATTTGCTTTCTCAACACTGTGCCAGCAATCATGTATACATCATTGGCGCATAATTAGATCACGTGATTCAGTTTAATCAGGTGCTTCAAAATTGGTTATTGCAGGGGGGAAATAGGAGGTACAGATTCTGGACACCTGCTTAGGAGGATGCTCTTGTTTATGAAACAGATTTTTGGATGTGCAAATTTTTGTGAATAAGTCATAATTATGTCACACTTTTAGATACCAAAATGCCATATACGATGATTTCTTTGGCTTACAACTTAGGCACCCTCTTTACATACATTGAGAAACAAAATGTAATGAAATATTCAAAATAAAACTTTCATTGTTCTTTTATTTCCAGTATGTGTCTGCATTTGCTGCATCTGCCTCAGCCAGTAATTGGGACAGGGTGGGCAAACCATTCAACCCTCTGCTAGGGGAGACTTATGAATTAACCAGGTACAGATACATATAAAACCAGTTTATTCCATATTAAGTTACCACATGTTTCATGGAGATAAATATAGAATGTAAAATTCTAAAACATGTATCAGGCATGGCAAATCATCATTTTCAAAAGCATGGGATAAATCAGTTATATAATGGTTAGTTGTGGATGGGTTTATCAGTCAAGACATACATATATGTAAAATAAATATATATCTTTTCTGTGGGATAAACCCTATATCTCCCATTACATAAATCTCATAAATAGATTAGTGTACATGTAGAATATATCATTTATCTTATTTCTTTCTACCCTTGGTCTCTATATATATATCTCTATATAAGATCCATATCCAATACCTCTCAGTATATAACTCTCATCTGTGTTATTATAGGGAGGACCTCGGGTTCAAGATAGTATGTGAACAAGTTAGTCACCACCCACCAATTAGTGCTTTCCATGTTGAATCTCCCTTCTACAAGTTCAGCGGCTCAATTCATCCAAAACTGAAGTTCTGGGGAAAAACTGTTGAGTGTGTCCCCAAAGGAGTCATCACATTGCAGTTATTAAAGTAAGTACTGAAATACTGTTTAATATATAATGGAGCTGTCACACTTAGGCTGCATGGGTTCACTGTTCGCCACCGTGTGAACACCGTGTGAATACTTTGGGGCAGATGGCGGGCATGGCATGGATACACAGTGGGCAAAAATAGTTTTACAGCATGATATCCCCCATCACATCAAATACAAAAATAAATTGATTAATTAAAAATTTATTGTCCAAAATTAGCGATGAGTCCACATGGCTAATGTGACAGATAAGGAGTTATATTATAACATATAATGCGCAAAGACCGGCAGTAAGACCTTATGATAAACTGGAGTTTAAACTCATAGCAGTCTTAACCTTTTTACTGAATTTGAACCTGTGGTCGGCTATTTTGATTTTTTAAAAACATTTGTTTTGAACAAGTATTTACATTAGCAGTTACTCAGGAAAAACAATGGAACTATATTCAATCGCAGATTTTACAGTATTCAATAAGTTTTATTAGATTCAAATCTATTATCTTTTTTACCTCATCTTAATTTGAAAAATCTTAAGAGGTTCTTTCTGGAAAGATTGATTCCAATATTTTACCTTTTTTGTTCATTTTACTTCCTTTTAAGTACTTTTCAAATTATATTAAATGTTGTTTTTTCATTATTTCAGATACAATGAAACATACACCTGGTCTAACATCAATTGCAGTATACACAATATCATCGTAGGAAAACTATGGATTGAACATGTATGTAGCCAATAATATAGTGTTGCATCAAGTCTCTCCTACCTCCCACCACCAACTACTTTGCCTCTTGTTGAGGTGAGGTATGTAGGGGAATGGGTAAGAAGGGCTTGAAGCAAGACTAGTAACCAAATTTGTAACATACCTATGATGATGTATAGTGCAAAGTGTACACAAGACAGCGGGCCAATATAAGTTTTGAAAAGCCCGCGCCCGCTAACTTTCTGATTGGTCAAGGTGCTGACGTCATAACCAATCAATCGAAGATAAAACTGTGCGAGCAATTTTTCTAACCTCATTTCAATCATTTTCAAACCATTTGTTTGTCAATTCTATAAGAAAACGGTACTCTCTGACCAGTCTACATCATTATAGGTATGTTATAAATCGTTTATGTCACTATCGTGGCACATATGCCCTCGGTTCTCAGAGATCAATGTCCCTCCCAAGGTCGGGCCATATATCACTGAGACCTCGGGCATATATGCCACGATAGTGACATAACCTCTAAATATTTCCTAATAGATCTACAGTAAAACCTGTCTAAATGGAACATCTTGGGTACCTCTAGAAAGTGTTCCACTTGAGAGGTGTTCTACCTGTGGAGGTTCATTTAACATGAAATCAGTTGGTCTTGGGACTCTTAAAAGTGTTCCACTTAGGAGGTGTTCCATTTTAATAGAGGTTCATTTAACATTAAGTCAGTTGGTCTTGGGATTCTGAAAAGTGTTCCACTAACAGAGGTGTTCCACTTCTAGAGGTGTTATACAGGTTTCACTGCATATCTTTTAATACAACCTTATATGGTTTGTAAAAATGTGCAACATTTAAAAAAACATATGCATACATATGCTGATCAAAATAAAGAAATTATTGAACAAAACTCACTAAATTTTCAATGTTTTTTCTAACACTACCCTCTAATGTATAATTGATTTTAATGAAAATATATCAATATTTAACCAACCCCCTTATGACAGGTGTATAAGATGTATGTATATTTCAGCATGGTGTTATGGAGATCCAGAACCACAGCAATGGGATGAAGTCAGTACTCAATTTTAAGCAGGGAGGCTGGTTCGGAAAGGACTTACACAAAATAGAGGGATTTATTTATGATAAAGAGTAAGCAAACGTTACTTATAAAATATAAAAAATGAATATTGTAAAAACCTTGAAATTTGATTATCATATATTTGAAGATAATTTGAAGTAAGCTACTTGATATTAACACAAATTGCAATATACTGTATGTATTTCCATTTCAGATTTCAATATTTACATTTGTAAATGCATGTACAATGTATTTCACTTTCAGCAAGAACAAACTAAAGGCCCTCTATGGTAAATGGGTAGAAAGTCTTATCAGCTGTGAAGTGAAAGAGTATGAAAATGCATTACAGAATGCTCCTACAAAACACATACCAGTCCCCAAACTTAAACTTTCCAGACCAAGGTCAAATCCGTCAAATAGTAATGTAAGTAGTGTTTTGCTCTTGTTATTGCTCAATCTCTTGCCTTACGATTAAAAAATTGATTTACTTGTACAGTTTGTGCCATTTTAAGCCATTTGTTTGATTTGTTGTTCCCATAGTAACCTCCACTTCTTTACAGATATTGTTTCAGCTTTGATGCTAATACAAAGATCTCAATGATCATATATGTATAGCTTTCATCTAACAAAGATGTGAATTCAGATTTTATATATAAAATGTAGTCTCTTGAGATGGTAGAGTTGATCTTGACAGTCTAGGGGCTTAGTCAGTATCCAAAATTAGGCAAGGCATTTTAAATTGGAAGACAAATCCTTATTAGGAAAAGGAAAATATACTACTAATAGGGACAAGTTTTACAATTTCAGTTCAAAATTTCAGCATCACCTGTTTATGAGCACTCTGTCATTTGTTTCTGTTTTGTATTTACAGAATGGTTCAGGTGAGTTTAAGGATTGCCAACAAGGGGAGTCACGCCTGTCCTTGAATGACAGTGATATAGACGATGATATCCCCAGTATTGGTTCCACGTTTGATCTCCAGATTCCTGGCCAGTCATTGCTTTGGCAAGCAGACCCTAGACCACCCAGCTCAGAGAAAGTGAGTTCAAACTGACGTACTGTCAATGTTAAAATATCAGTGTACTCCCAATAAATTAAATTGATATTGATCATGTCCTTAACTATGTAAGAAAATACTCTCAAACACTTTAAATAATAAAAATATACATTATCCATCTGTGATAAGGAGAACAGTAATGCGATTATCGATTTTTCATTATTTCTAATTATTTTCTCTTATCAGAGGTAAAATAATATGACAAAATCAGAACATTCTGTTTTATCTCAATAAAATATAGGTTAATTTACACAATGTACAATTTTAATTTTACCATTCTGCTTTCAGTATTACAGTTTTACGCTGTTTGCAATGATGTTGAATGAGCTAACAAGTGACATACGCCAGCATTTACCTCACACAGACTCTAGATTGCGGCCTGACATCAGACTACTAGAAGATGGCAATATAGGTCAGCATAAACTTACGATGACTTGAGATGTTTTCCATATTGGAAAAAATATGTTTGAATGTTCTTCAGGCAGTGTAGATCTCAAAGAGAATTGTATATTATATATTAGTTGCTAAGACACTATTCTATCATGTATGTTTTTCACTTGGCCTGGTAGTTTTTAATTATTTCATCAAAATATATTCTTCTCGAAATTTTGTCACAAAAATTTTCCACTGTACATCAATTCATAGTGCTTCAAGTTTTTAAGTCTCTACAGTTGACCATATATTCAGAAATTAATATTTTGTAGACTTAGCTGCAGAGGAAAAGGTGCGCCTAGAAGAGAAACAGAGAGCTGCAAGGAAAGAAAGGAAACGATTAAAGGAAGAATGGACACCAAGGTAATGTTGAACAATATAGCCCTCTCATCCTGTACCTAAATGCCATTTCAGGTTTAAATCGGAGAGTCAAATGAATAAAGTTACAACTAATTAAGCACTTACATACTTATGTTTAGTACACATGTTAGTTGAGTATATTGGGGCAACATTATTGTTTAAAACAAATTGTTAAAGTCAAAAGCTTACATTATTCCCATGCATAGGACTGTTGAAAATTCATGTTGATACACTGTGTGATAAGCAGAAGTGATAATGAATGCCTTGGTATGTAGTGTTTGTCACATAAATATATCTTATTTTTAATTGTCTTTTCAGGTGGTTTGAAAATAGAATTCACCCACAAACTGGAAAGGAGGACTGGTTTTTCACAGATAAATACTGGGACAGAAATGATGACAATTTACCTGATATATTCTAGGAGCATTTTAAAATACCCAATTAGTCAAAGGAGGTCTCTCAATCCCAGAATATCTCTGTATTATGCAATCAGCTGGTTTGATTGGCTCATGAAGTGAAATATGGTGTCAATGTGAAATACAGAATGGGGAATTAAATGGAATAAACAAATATATTCTCCATGGAATCTCTTCATGCTTTAAATCAGGATTTGAGAGAAAGTAGTTAGAATGCCATAATGAACCATAGTCAAGTACCAACTTTTCCTACTCAAACAACATAAAACCATGTTATCGCAAACTTCAAAGTATATTTCAACCCAATCATCACCATTTATCTTTTAACCAAATATAGTTACATCAACTTCAAGTGCAAATGATGAAATAAATTATGACGGAGCTCCATCACGCTGTTATAGGAATGGCCCGTTATTTTAACTAGATGGTGACAAGTGATTTATGTTTTCCTGTACTAGCAAGTGAGGCTGTATCTTGGTAATGTCCAGTTGGCTAGCCATTAATTCAACCCATTTGGACCAGACCTAACAACATGGACCATATGGATTATTGGATGAGACTGTCTCATGTTCTTCGGTGTTAACCCCCACTGGAGTTTCTGCAATACCATTCCTCTGCTACTTGTTTAGATTATGATTATACAAACTACTTCCGTGTCAACATCCCTGATCTGAATGACTAGTGGAACAATTTGTGAAATCATATTAAACCCTTGGGATTACTTGAGACTGTCTTTAGGAACATCATTAATCATGTTAATGGAGTTTTGTATGAGCCATTGTGCTTACATCTGCATGTCAACTGAGTAGCTCTGCAGGCACTTGATTCCAGCAGGAAATCAATGATTGTCAAACATTTCATCACTTAATTTTGTCAAATCTTAAGATTTTAAGTAAAACAGAATCAAATGTATGCAGAGAGGAAGAAGGAAGGTACTATTAAATGAATCTGCTCAGAGAATGGTACAGTAGCTTCTTTATTCAAAATAGACTGAAGTTCTTATAAGCCATTAGCATACAGGTTCTGATTTAGTTGTAATCATATGGCTAATTTCATTGTCTTGATTCTTGTAAATGGTTAGCTTATGCAACTTATAGGTCATCCACATCAGGCTCAGGTATATGCTATCCTGAATCCCAATTCAGTAAACCATGCCATCCTCTGAAAATTATAGATCATCTTACACTTTAGAAGCTGACAAGGTGTAAATGATCTCAAGGTAACTTTCATGGAATTTAGAATGTGAAATGAATGTTAGATTCTTCTAGGTATAAAAATGTGTCATGATTTCTGACTACACACTCGGATATAAGCTAGATCAAAGGATCATCTAGGTCAAGTTTAGCTCTTGTAGATGTAGATGCCAATACAAACCAGACTATATGTTCAGCTCAGGTGTAGACTAGGACAGGGAAATATATGTACGTGTGTAGGACACTCATACATCATACAATAATAAAATACACTATAGCGAGTAATGCCGTGGTCACATTTGCCCTATCTTTAACACCGACACCTGTTTGGTGAGTATTTTGTTCAAAACTGAATGCACCTTTAAAAATTACTCATCGCTCAGGCGCCAGTACTGAAAATCAGAGCAAATGTGACCATGGTATTAATAATATTTTCAATATAAGGTACAGACCATGGATCAGGCTGTTAAAATATATATACACCCGTTTAGGACACTATTAGTCTACACATGCAGTTTACAATATTTTCATATAACATTACAATGTATAAAGCATTGCTTTGAGAGCATGTTAAGGTAGACAGAAGCAATCAACTTGCTTATGGTCAGCATAACCAAACAGGTTCTAAAGTTATCCAACTTGGTCCACCTTAACATAAATATAATATACTTAATCTAAAAGAAGCATCTAAAAGGGTCTAGAAATACCCAATAAAAGTATTGAAACAAGGATTGAGAGATAAACATGTATGTTTGACACTAGATTTAATAATTAATTGTATAAATGTATAAAGGAAAGGAAAATATTGTATTTTAAAACGGGACATATTTATGTCTCGACAGTGTCATATTTTTTCTTAATGGATTCATAAATTCTTAATAAAATTCATTATTGAAAAGTACCAATTTGTTCAGGTCATTTTACTTAACTGAGAACCAAAGGCTCAGATTACTTAAAACTTAAAAAAACTTTCAAATGCTTCAGTTCAGCTGCTAGTGCAATATAAAACATCAAAGTATTTATTTTATTATCTTTCATCTAAGTATTAGTATAATTTATGAATTGAAACGTTCTATAAACTAGAATCCAGACAGGGTTTTCTCATGTCAGTTAAGCCAAAAAAAGAATGTTACCAGTTAATTTTCACGCCTAGTGTCTGCCTGCACAATTGTCTGTGTCTGATCAACTTACAAAAATCGGGGGCACGTAAGTTATGTCTTTGTGCATTGATATAACAATTGTTTTTGGTGTCAATGTTACAATTACCAAATGACAATTTACCTAAGAAATGCAATGAAAATGTTAATTTGCTACCATTGTTTTTATTTATTCATGTAACTTGTATGCTTAAGATAACAGGCTATGGTTAAGATGTCAGTGGTCAGTGAACATTTGCACAAATAAAACCTCAGAGGCATTATTGAAAGTTAAATGTACATGTATTTCAGTGTAAAGAACAAGTCCAGTTCAAACTCATATTGTTTTAATCAGTACAGTATATCAGTTTTATTTATTTATTATTTGAGATGAGTATTTATGACAATGTAGGATTGTAGTTTGAGGAAAATCTACCATTGTGATGTCATGTTGCCAATTATTCCTCAAGACGAGGATTCTCTTGTTGGAGGTTATTAAATAAAAGGTCATCTGTGAAAAATTGTTTCTCAAATAAATATGCAAATATTGTAAAAGAGATAATCCTGTTAATCTCAAATGGATACTGTTGATTATAGCAAACTATGCAGTGTAGAAACATAAATGTTCAGTTTGTATATTACAGAGTGGTCCAAAAGTGGAACATTACTAAGTCATGTGTAGAAAATTAATTTCTCAACCAAATTTTACTGAGCAAAGTTCATTCAAATCTACACCAAGCTATAAAGTTTATAGATGCACCATATCATGTTAATAAGTTCAGCAAGCCAGTGATATGGCCTTTCTTCTTAATGACAAATTCAAATTCTGACCTCCATTTTTGACAGTTCTTTCATTTGGCCATTTGTTGCTTTTCCTTCAAGCTATCTTAATGGTAAGCTTCAACTTTAACTTTTGTTTTGAAAGAATCTGTTTCTAACAACACCAATGATATTGTGTTCTTGGAGTGGGGCTTTTGATAAGCAGAAATCACGAATTTGTTGTTTATCAGCTTTGTGGATGATGTAATCGGTCACTCTTGACATGTTCCTTCTTCCTCGTCCTTTAAGATATTTAATTATTTAGTTCTTCCTTACTTTCAACATAAGTGTTTTTCACTTAACCATTTCTAAAAATGTGTATACTGATCAACATGGCATATTTCATTGAAAAAAATTAATTTTATACATATGATTAAAAAATGTTCCACTTTTTTGGACATCCCTAATAAAATATATTAATGATTGAACGTGTTTTAAAAAGGGAAAAGGGAACTTCAGATTCTTTGATTTATTGTTTTTATATCCAGTGCCTGAAAAGATTGTTTAAATATAATAAAAAAAAGGCTGAACAAGCTTGGATCAGGATAACATGAGATCATTTTAAATGATTTGTCCATAATTTAAAGATTCATTGTCCTTGTTCCTTAATTCAGATTTATGATGACAACATTGTTCAATTGGTACTTGCATGGGCGTAGCGCTATTTTCCTAAGTAGTACGCCACCACCACAGGAACAAGAGTTGAGTGAATAAAAAAGCCAGCATTAAGGGGGGTCTGGGGGTTCTCCCCCAGGAAAATTTTGAAATATGGTTGTATTTGGAGCGAATTTGCAACCATCTGGTACGCCTGTGCGTACCCAGCGTACCGGGCGCTACGCCCATGACTTGTAAACCTTTTAGAAATCAGATGATGAAGCTCGCAATATTCAGATGACACATTTCGAACTAATGTGACATGGTTAGGAGAAAACCATTAATGCTATTTAGGGTGCTACCCTTTCTGCACAATTCCAATTTTAATCATTTTAAAAACAACAAGATCCAGAATATCTTTAACACCTACCAAATGTATTTTCAATTTTCTTTTGAGAAAAAAAGGTGAAAGTGTCTTTGTGATCATTACTTGACCCCTATTATAGGTTAAGGAATATAAAGATATATTTAGATATAATAGCTAAATTATTTATGTATTACAATGATGTAAATGAACATGATGAAAGCTGTACATGTTGAACTATGTTATTGTATTGAATATGCAATAAAATATCAATCGACTAGGAAATAAAATTTCATGATTTTATGTTATAATCAATGTAATATATGGTAAGTATATATCAAACACAACCAAGTTTGTATCTTGAAGTTGATTTATTTAACCCCAATTGTTTCATATATTATACTTTAAAAGTCAGGAAGATAAATTGTTAATAAATAAAATCATTTCTATACTTCTTTGCATTTTTATATATTGGCACATTTCCATTTAATTTGGTTCCAACATCAGATTGTATCTAGATCGAACAGAGGCCAGCGTAATATTCATATCAAGAAGTAAAGTGGAATATTGGAACAATGCCTTCCTACAACCTGAAAATAGTGTTTCTTCTGACATGTCTTTTCGTACCTGTCAATGGAAATTTAACATCTGCTTCTAGAAATGCATTGGAGACAAAACACAAAAGCAGCTGTAATGTGTGTGACTGTGTTGGCCTCACTGCCGATTGCTCATCTAGAAATCTTGAGTTATTGCCACAAGAGTTACCAAGAGATATAACAATCCTTCGACTATATAATAATTGCATAACGCATTTGCCTGATGGGTTGTTAGGACAACTATATCAGAACTTGGAAGTGTTGGACATTGATCTGAACAAAATAGCTATTTTTGGAAACCGTACATTTAGTGGACTTGTACATCTGCAGTATCTTATGATAGGTAAAAATCCTTTTAAACCAGAGTCTTTTCACAAACTTGTTTATAAGCCATTAAAAAATATTCGCACCATCCATGTGAACTGGCACGGGGATGAATCAAAACTTGATGCTAAAATAGCTTTGTTTAATGCATTTGAAGGTCTACAAAATTCTACAATTGAAACTATCATATATAACTATATAACACTCATGCCTTTTATGCTTGAGAAGAAACATTTGCAATATTTCAAACACTGCCATTTGAAAAACCTGGTTTTAACAGAAAATGGAATATTTGCAATTGAACCAGGGATTTCCAAATATGTGCCCTATTTAGAAACAATAGATTTGTCAAAGAATATAATAAGAGGGGTACTTCCAGTGACCAGGGGTGTGCTTTTGGAAATATACTTTATGATACATCTGAAGGTTGTGAAAATAGAAGGCAACAGGCATGGTTCATTCCAAAAAAACAATCCATATGTCCCATTTTCAAAAAGAATGAGTGAAAACGAATGGGCTCTTCCTGTGGGCCTCATTGAGATACATCTGAGAGAGACCAATGTGGATTATGCCCCTTGTCATTTACCATATGGAATAAGGTTTCAACGAAACAATAACATCAAGATCATTGAAGCCTCTGCCAGTTTTATCACCACTTATATAGGTGGTGCACTGAAAGGACTGGTTAATTTGGAAAGACTTGTATATAGTGATAATGACTGCATAATTGCACCTGAATTCTTCACATGTGAGACTGGATACTTTGAAAGACTACAATATCTTGACTTGGCCAACAACAGAGCAATACTCCATTCCTCCAATTCTTCTTCCACCATCTTCAGAAACTGTTCCCAACTGCAACTAATTGATGTGTCATACAATGATATTACAGATATTGATGCAAAGGCATTTGTTGACACAACAGGACTTGAAATTCTCAACTTAAGTGGTAACAAAATGAAACAGATCACAATATTACTGGAACAGCTTAAATCAATGAGACTGCTCAATATATCAAACAATCATTTAAATGCTATTGAAGAGAACAAAAGAAAGGAAATTGATGAACTAATAAGAACATCAAGAACGAATTTGACAATAGACATCAGACATAATCCTTTGATCTGTAACTGTGATTCTTTCAAGTTTATAGACTGGACACAGACACACAGTGATAACATCTACAAATGGCAAGAAGTAACATGTATTCACATCAATGGCTCAGAGGTGGCAATCAATGACATTTTGTTACCTGGGATGAAATGGGATTGCTGGAAGGCTATGATAATTCCACCTGTGGTATCTTTTGGACTTGTTGTACTAGGCAGTGTGCTTGTTATCTGTATCTACAGGCGTAGATACAAAATACACTATCTAGCCCTTCTGATAAGGGCATTACTCAGACGTCATCAACAGGTTGATTTTCAGTTTGACTTTGATGGATTTATGAGTTACAGCTCTCTGGACAAAAACTGGGCACTGACCAACATATATGCACATCTAGCAGATAAATACAACTATAATATATGCATAGATGACCGCAACTTTATGCCAGGTGCTTACATTGCTGACATTATCATTGAAAGCATCAGCAAAAGCAACAAGATAATTCTGATTATTAGCCATAATTTTCTCCGAAGTGGTTGGTGCACATTTGAAATGAACCTTGCTAGAGGTGAGCTTGCTACCAGGGGGCGAGACTGTTTGATATTGATACTAAAAGAGCCTGTGGATGTCCTACCCCCAGAGCTGATCACACCAACTCTACGTTCACTACTTGAGACTCGGGTGTACCTGGAGTGGAGTGAGGATGAGGACAGGAAGCTATTGTTCTGGAGGAAGATGAAAGATGCTCTCGGTGACCCAAGATACCAGGGAGATGAAGATAGCCAGTATTTATACCAGAGCAATGATGGTGACAATGAAGTTCTACAAGAACTTATTGGATAATAAAACACTATCTACATGTAGATATTTAGATTCACCTATTGATGAAATTGACTCTCTATACCTTTGATAAGAAGTTAAATACTTAATGATACTATATGATATTTAAGTTTGACCTGAACTCATATCCTTGATTCTGTCAACCATTTAAGTCAGTGACACATAAAATTTATAAACAAAACATACAGGAGTTTCAATCAGGATTCCTAATGAACCTGTTAGAAAATATCCAACATTTTTAACTTTCTCACTAACTTGCTTTGGTTCTTACATTCACTGTTATGTTTATATGTCATTCAACTGAGCCACAAATATGAATTTGCCCCTTACATCTAGCCCAGTTCTGTGTTCACAGAACATCATGTTTCAATTCATATTGAGACTTCCTTTTTTCAAGTCTTGTAACATTCATAAAGGGGATCTGTTTGTGTGTGTAATGCTTCTACTTTTAGATACTGGTTAATCTGAATACACATGTGTCATGCCCATGGTCTGAATTTCCTTTTTTTAATATTATAGACTCTTCCGAATTTATTGATATTGTTCCAAATGGTGACTTGATCATTAATTTTGAAAATAAAATTTTTAATCTGCTCGAAATCAGAGATGATGATCCTGACGCCCCAGACTTTGATAACACAACCAAGGAATACATGGCTAAGAATGAATATGTCACACTTTCTGACTTCAATAATAATCTCAATTCCAAGAATAACATAGATATGTCTATTTTACACTGCAATATTCGTAGTTTGTCTTCAAATCATTGGAAATTGTCTAATCTACTTGCGTCTATCGATAAAAATATATCTGTCATTGCTCTCTCTGAAACTTGGCTGTATAAAGATCAAGAAGACAACTTTTCTGAATTTCTAAATTACCGAGGATTTTTCAACTCAAGAACAACTAGAGGAGGCGGTGTTGGTCTCCTTTTTCATAAATCTATTAATATCAAGGAACGATCTGATTTAAAATTTAACAATGTCAATTGTGATGTCATAACCATAGAGATAATTGTTGAAAATGGAAAGAATATTTTAATAACCTGTGTATATAAGCCACCAAATGTTGATCTAGAAGAATTCAACAATGACCTAGATGTATACCTATCTTTACTTTCAAGAGAAAACAACAAATTAAGCTACATTGCTGGAGATTTTAACATTGATCTTTTTAAATCTGTTGAACATGAAAATACTGAAAACTTTTACAACATTATGTCTTCATATAACTTCATGCCTGTAATATATAAAGCAACTAGAGTTACATCTACCTCAGCCACTCTCATAGATAACATCTTTACTAATGATTCTAAAGTTGACTTATGTGGAATTATATATAATGACATATCAGATCACTTTCCAATATTTGCTGTTTCCAACAAACCTGTTAACAAAACAACATCAATGAAAAAGTCTATTAGAAAATATACTGACGAAAGCATCTTAAAATTTAAAGAAATCCTCTCTAATGAATCTTGGATTGATATTACAAATTTCAACGATGTTAATGAATCTTATAATAAATTTGAGGAAAAACTATCAGAATTTTATGATGAATGCTTCCCATTAAAACAGATCACAATTAAACTATACAATAATAATCAAAAACCTTGGATTACATCAGCAACACTTAAATCAATTAGACATAAAAGCAAACTATACAAGAAATATCTCAGGAATCCCACAGATCAAAATAAAAAACAATATAAATCTTATGCAAATCAACTAAAAAGTACAATTAAATTATCTGAAAAGCAATACTATAATAACAAATTTAAACTGAATCAAGGCAACATAAAGGCAAATTGGCAAATAATTAATGAGATACTCAAAAGAAAAATAATAATATCCCTGACTTCTTCATTCAAAATAACGTGAAAATAACCAACAAACAGGAGATAGCTAATCATTTCAATAATTTTTTTGTAAAAGTTGGAGAAAACTTAGCTGCAAAAATTCCCAAGTCAGATAAAAAACCCTTAGATTTTATGCAAACATTAGGACAACAGGCTTCTTCAATCTTTTTAGACCCAGTTGATGTTAACGAACTACAAAAAATAATTTTTAATTTAAAACCTTCTGCTGCAGGTCATGATGATTTTAAACCTTTTATTATGAAAGAATGCGGTTTTGTACTATATCAGCCTCTTATGCATATTTTTAATTTATCCATTTCAAACGGAGTTTTTCCAGACCAACTTAAAATTGCAAAAGTTTTACCGATTTATAAAAAAGATGAAAAACATTTTTTCACCAATTATCGGCCAATATCTGTACTACCAGTTTTTTCAAAAATTTTGGAAAAACTAATGCATAAAAGAATAACAAAGTTTATAGATACTATTGACATTTTGTATACTAATCAATTTGGATTTAGGGAAAAAAGATCAACTTTCATGGGGGTATTAACATTTATTGAAAAGATCAGGAAATCTATTGATGATGGGGAATTTACAATAGGATTATTTATTGACTTTTCCAAAGCTTTCGATACAATAGATCATAACATACTATTTGATAAACTTCAATATTATGGTATACGTGGTGTTGCTCTTGACTGGATAAAAAGTTATTTTAAAAACAGATTCCAGCAAACTTTATATAAGGACACAATCTCTAATCGTGACTTGATCACTTGCGGTATTCCTCAAGGCTCAATTTTAGGACCTCTGTTTTTTATATTATATATTAATGATATATATCTTTCTTCCCGACACTATTTTTCGTCTTATTCGCGGATGATACTAACTTATTGATTAAAGGCAAAAATCTAAATGACCTGACAGAAACTTTAAATATTGAACTGAAACATATTGAAGAATGGCTGGTCACAAACAAATTATCACTCAATGCTAATAAAACAAAATATATCATTTTTTCCTCAAGACAAAAAAGATTTAACGCAAATAATATTAAAATCTATCTTAATGGCAAGCAAATTGAACAAGTTGATCATATAAACTTTCTTGGCATAATAATAGATAAACACTTGAACTGGAAACGGCATATTGCTTCTGTTAATGCAAAAATTTCTAGGACAATTGGTATTTTATATAGAGTAAAACAACTGTTGAATATCAGTGGTTTTATGAGCATCTATTATTCACTTATATATTCTCATCTTATATATGGCAATGTTATTTGGGGTGAAACATGTAGTTCATTAAATTCTCTATATCTTGTGCAAAAGAAATTCACCCGCATTGCAACAAACAGCGATTATAGAGCTCATTCCCTACCATTATTCAAACAGTTAAACCTTTTAAATATTTTTGACATACACAAACAACAGAAATGTTTATTTATGTATAAATGGATAAATCAGCTTGATAACTACCATAAAATTTTTCCTAACTTTTTCAAAATGGTCCAGGCGAGACATGAACACAATACTAGAAACAAGGATACTTATGACAAACCTAAGGTGCGGACGAACTATGGCATTTCAATGTTAACTTTCGCAGCACCAACAATTTGGAATCAATTACCAAACAAGATTCAATCTTCTCGAAGTGTTCCCATCATGAAAAGAGAGCTAAAAAAGTACTTTGTTAATAATGAATAATTGAATACCATTCTTATAGTTTATATTTTGGGCTGTATGACACACCTTTCACTAACCACCCATTATAAGCATTCGCACACAAACAGATCCCCCTCTGTTTCTATGTAGGTAATTCACTACCCTGTCGGGAATATACACATTACGTGTCACCCGCTCATTGTCTGTATTTTAATACATAGCTTACTGAATAAATAAATAATAATAATAATAATATAATGTTATTATAAAGGTAATCCTATACTCCATGTATAAGCCAAGATTAAGATTTTACATATCATGGCTTTGATCAGTGTAGTCTAATATTACTAATTGAATTGTATTTGCAGTATTCGATTGCCTTTATGTCTGGAATTATGGCTGTAAAAATACTTTTGTGTCAATCTAACACAATAACTTTTTCAAATATATCTAGTTTATGAATGTTCTTCTGTGGACAGTGTTAAATGTGCCAAGCAATGACTTTGAGAAATTGTTTTCATCTTAGCATGGTGTCTAAAAGAAATAAAAAGGTAGATGGAACAATGTCGCCCGACTGAACTTTGCTAATACATAAGGGCTGATAGCCAAAGTCAATATTACAATATCTTTTAAGATTACAGTGTTCACCATGTCATAAAACAGGAAGATTTCTTTTGATAAAATGAGGTTTCATTCTTCCTGTTTTTGCTACTTCCTTTTATTTTCTATAATTAATGGGTCCAAATTACATGTACAATTCAAATACATATATAAACAAGACAAAAATTGAATCCCAATTGAATTTCAATTTTAAGTACTGAGGAATATTAGAACAATGATTTCATACCAGCTGATGATAGCTTTTCTTCTGATATCTTTGTTGGTACATGTTTATGGAAACTTAATATCTGCTTCTAGAAATGCATTGGAATCAAAACACAAAAGCAGCTGTCAAGTGTGTGACTGTGTTGGCCTCACTGCCGATTGCTCATCAAGAAATATTGCGTCATTGCCACAAGAGTTACCAAGAGATATAACAGTACTTAGACTATATAATAATTGCATAACTCATTTGCCTGATGGGTTGTTAGGACAACTATATCAGAACTTGGAAGTGTTGGACATTGATCTGAACAAAATAGCTATTTTTGGAAACCATACATTTACTGGTCTTGGAAATCTGCAGTATCTCATGATAGGCCATAATCCTTTTAAACCAGAACGTTTTCACAAACTTGTTTACAAGCCATTGGAAAATATACACACAATTCAAGTCAATGGTATGGGGGATGAATCAAAACTTGATTCCAGAATAGCTTTATTTGATGCATTTGAAGGTCTACAAAATTCAACAATTGAGGCAATCATATATAAACAAATTACCCTCATGCCCTTTGTGCTAGAAAACAAACATTTGCGATATTTCAAACACTGCCATTTGAAGAAGATGGTTCTAGCAGAAAAAGGAATATTTGCAATTGAACCTGGGTTTTCCCACAATGTGCCCCAATTAGAAATGATAGATTTGTCAAGTAATATATTACGAGGGAGATTTCCAGGGACCAATATATTTTTTGACATTTATTTGATGAGATATCTAAGGGTGGTGAAAATAGAAGGCAACAGTAATGTTTTATTCAAAAGAAACAATATCATTGTCCCATTTTCAAAGAAAATGAGTGAAAATGAATGGGCAGTTCCTGCGGGCCTTGTCGAGGTACACCTGAGGCAGACCACTGTGGATATTGCTCCTTATCACCTTCCATTTGGAGTAAAGTTGCAACATAACAATAAGATCAAGATCATTGAAGCCTCTGCTAGTTTTGTCACCACTTATATAGGTGGTGCACTCAAAGGACTGGTTAATTTGGAAAGATTTGTATATAGTGATAATGACTGTATTTTTGCACCTGAATTCTTCACATGTGAGACTGGCTACTTTGAAAGTCTACAATATCTTGACTTGGCAAACAACAGAGCAATACTTCATTCATCTAACTCTTCTTCCACCATCTTCAAAAACTGTTCAAAGCAGCGACTCATCGATGTGTCATACAATGATATAACAGATATCGATGCAAAGGCCTTTGTTGACACAACAGGACTTGAAATTCTCAACTTGAGTGGTAACAAAATAAAACAGATCGTAATTATACTGACACAGCTTAAATCCTTGAGAATCCTCAATATATCAAACAATCACATAAATACTATTGAAGAAAACAAAAGAAAGGAAATTGATGAACTAATAAAAACATCAAGCAGGAATTTAACAATAGACATCAGACATAATCCTTTGATCTGTAACTGTGATTCTTTCAAGCTTATAGACTGGACGCAAACACATAGTGATAACATCTACAAATGGCAAGAAGTAACATGTATTCACATCAATGGCTCAGAAGTGGCAATCAATGACATTTTGTTACCTGGGATGAAATGGGATTGCTGGAAGGCTATGATAATTCCACCTGTGGTATCTTTTGGACTTGTTGTACTAGGCAGTGTGCTTGTTATCTGTATCTACAGGCGTAGATACAAAATACACTATCTAGCCCTTCTGATAAGGGCATTACTCAGACGTCATCAACAGGTTGATTTTCAGTTTGACTTTGATTGATTTATGAGTTACAGCTCTCTGGACAAAAACTGGGCACTGACCAACATATATGCACATCTAGCAGATAAATACAAGAACACAAATGTGTACAAAATGTCCCCACCAAGTGGTGATCCCGTGAAATGGTTATCCTGAAAATGAGTAGACAAGACTTTACCAACACAATTTGAGGACGGAAAATCCAAAGTGGCCACCTTAAAATTTACCCAGAATGCCAAAAATTTAGTCAGTTCTAGATTTTCATACTAAGAACCACCCCTGAAAATTTGAAATTGATCCCTCACACAGTTAACCAGAAAACATGTAAACAAGACTTTACAGACAAGATTTCAGGATGGAAAATCCAAAATGGCTGCCTTGACATTTACCCAGAATGTCAAAAAACTAATCTGTTTGTAGATTTTCATACTAAGAATCATCCCTGAAAATATGAAATTGATCTACCAAACGGTTCACCTGAAAACGGGTAGACAAGACTTTACAGACAAGATTTTAGGACAGAAAATCCAAAATGGCTGCCTTAACATTTACGCAGAATGCAAAAAAAGTAATCAGATGTAGATTTTCATACAAAGAATCATCCCTGAAAATTTGAAATTGATCTATCAAACCGTTCTCCTAAAAACGCGTAGACAAGACTTTACAGGCAAGATTTTAAGACGGAAAATCCAAAATGGCTGCCTTGACATTTACCCAGAATGCAAAAAAACTAATCAGCTCTAGATTTTCATACTGAGAATCATTCCTGAAAATTTGAAATTGATCTACGAAACGGTTCACCTGAAAACGAGTAGACAAGACTTTACAGACAAGATTTTAGGACGGAAAATCCAAAATGGCTGCCTTGACATTTACCCAGAATGCCAAAAAACTAATGAGATCTAGATTTTTATACTAAGAATCATCCCTGAAAATTTGAAATTGATCCACCAAACGGTTCACCTGAAAACGCGCAGACAAGACTTCACAGACAAGATTTTAGGACCGAAAAATCCAAAATGGCCTACAATAAAAAAGTCCTTACGAGTTTTTGCTGATTTCTTTTTACAAATTATCACATATAACTACTGTTAACAATAAAGTAGGCTTTTACAGCAAAGTACATCTGAAATTATTTATAAAGCTACTAAATAGTTAAAGTATGAAAACTCAAAAACACCATTCAATATGATACAAAGTATTATCGCGCGCTAACTTTTCTTAAGACATTCAAAATGGCTGACATGACTGAGCTAGCAGGTCCAAAACCTAATCAGATCTAGAATGAAGTGAGTTGAACAAGATGTTAAAGTTTTAAAAGCAACTGTGAAGCAGTTTTTCTTAAAGTTTGCAGACAAGGATTTTAGCATTTGACTTCAAAATGGCCGACAGGAAGTAGGTATCGAGTTAATTTTTTTTCATCCACATCTGTATGCACTCATAAGTTATCCCTGAAAATTTGAAGGTGATATCTGTAGCGGTTTTGGAGAAAACTGCCGGACGTACGGACAGACGGACAGACAGACGGACAGACAGACGGACGGACGCGCCTAGGCCGACAATATGGCCCCACACTATGTGGTGGGGACATAACAACTATAATATATGCATAGATGACCGCAACTTCATGCCAGGTGCTTACATTGCTGACATTATCATTGAAAGCATCAGCAAAAGCAACAAGATAATTCTGATTATTAGCCATAATTTTCTCCGAAGTGGTTGGTGCACATTTGAAATGAACCTTGCCAGAGGTGAGCTTGCTACCAGGGGGCGAGACTGTTTGATATTGATACTAAAAGAGCCTGTGGATGTCCTACCCCCAGAGCTGATCACACCCACTCTACGTTCACTACTTGAGACCCGGGTGTACTTGGAGTGGAGTGAGGATGAAGACAGGAAACAGCTGTTCTGGAGGAAGATGAAAGATGCTCTTGGTGACCCAAGATATCAGGGAAATGAAGATAGCCAGTATTTATACCAGAGCAATGATGGTGATAATGAAGTCCTTCAAGAACTTCTTGAACCATAAAATATCATTCACATGTAGATTCACCATGGACTTTGACCTCTGTAACTTGAGTAAGTGATGTGAAAACTTAATGTTTTATTATTTTTCAATGACATTTAAGATTGACCTGAACTCATTTGTTTGATTCTCTCCACCTTTATACAAAATATACAAATGAAGTCAGTCATAATGTAATTTAAAAAATATATTTATACAAGTTTTATTCAGGTTTCAATAAAGAAACCTCTGAACCTCTTTTTCATTTTCCTGTATTTACTATATAATAATGCAATAGATGATCCCATACTACCTGGATGAGCTAAGATCAAATTACTGATTTAGTAAATTAAGACTTTGATATCTGTTTGGTTAATTTTAATAAATTATTATAAACTGTATTTGCTACATTTGCAAGGTTTTGTCTAGAATTGTGGCTATATATACTTTTAGGTTAAACTTACAGGGTGACACAAAAATACTCTTATTCAGGGGTTTATTTCTTGAAAGTTTGTTAAGTTTTGCATTTTTGTTGCTGGTAAAATTTACTTTAAAGATTCTCGCAATCTTTATCCAATCAGCGTTTGTGAGTGTGTCGGCTCACGTATAAAAGCCGAATCCAACTCAAATCCATGCAGGGGTGTATGAGGTACTCGAATAGGAAAGAGCTCGTGAAATCTGAATTTATATGCACATGGTCAATGTTTACACATATTTGGAGTTATTGAAGAAAATGTCATATGGGTGTGGTTCCGAATTTGAAGTCATTGCTGGAAAATATGATTTTAATACGTGAAATTATATCTATAAATACAGCACTAAAAATAACAGTACACATGAAGTACATGTATGATTGTGTTCAGAAATGTTTGAAACCCTTACGGAAAATTCTGTCTGCATTTTGTCACCATTGCTCTTTCTTCCCACATTCTAGTGCTGTTTGAATGAATATATTAATTAATGTATTCCTAACTAAAATATATCACATTTTTTTATAAACCACAAACATTTAGATCATAAAAAAATTATTCAATACTTGAGTGAGCACGATATGCAAGGGTTACTAAGTTGACACAGTAAATGACCACTGATATTGTGTTAGTCCATGCACACAGCAACACCCCTCACTTTCATAGTGAAGTGACTAATTGTTGGTTTATGTTTACGTTTTAATGTGTTTTGGGTTCCTTGTTACAGCAAGGGGGGCCAGTAAAGTAGACTAACATGTTTGCATGGCACGTTTTGATCGAATATGTGAGACACTTTAAACTTGCATTCTTGAATGTTAGTAACTTTGCAAAAATAAGTAACTTTTTTCACAAAGTTATTAACCCTTAAATAGTTATGCTGTGGAGAATTACACCAACAGTTACAATGGTCAGTATCAAGCGAAGGTAACGGCTGTTACCTTTGCATCAAAAATGGCAGACTGGAAGTGTCAATATTGTTTCAATATTTTTAGTTTTCATCAATTTAAACTACTTTATAGTTGGCATAATGCTTTGATATTTGAACCAAATCAGGCTTATATGACATGGGAACTATGGAATATGATAATTTGTTCATATATCATGTGTAGGTGCCATAGTTCAACGATATCTTCCACCACTAAGGGAAAGTAACTGGAAATGTAAGATACTGTAACTGGAAATGTAAGATACTGTAGCTGTCATGTTAGTTTTCAATAGACAGTTACTGGACATCTTAGCTCTCCATTATAATTCTCATAACGTTACTGCATCACTGCATATCAGTTATCTTATCATCTGTAAAACCAAAATCCCAGTTACGTTCCCTTAAGCAATGGAAGATATCTTTAAACTGTGGCGCCCATGCATGATATATGAACAAATGATCCTACCCCAGAGTTTCTTTGTCATATAAGTCGAATTTAGTTCAAATATCAAAGCATTACATCAACTATAAAGTATATCGAAATCAACACTTCCTGTCCGCCATCTTTGATGTGAAGGTGATGGCCGTTTCCTTACGTTACTATTGTACTCTAAGAGCGAGGAGGAAAATTCTTAATAAATGGAGTATAGTTGGTTTGGCAGCATTTTCAGTTAGGGGGAAGTCTTGGATGAAAATTCTACCTAGGTGACCCATTTTCTTACTATTTAGAGCCTCACTTTTCAATTAGACACTGGAAGACATTGGAAAAATTCATGTGAAGTGCCTAGTAGCAGGCTTATGAGCCCTGAAAGGTTCAAACTAATTGAATCTGTAGGAGCCAAGAAAAAAATTGTTGATTTTTTGAAAATTTTGACATTTTCGAGATGGGTGATTTTGTGTATGACTATAGCTGACGCTTATAGTTTCTAGATCCATCCCTCTTTGATGTTAAATATGGTTTTAAAGTGTAGAACTAAGATGTAAAAAATAATTAAAATGGGTTTTAAGGAAGTTTAAAGTTTTAAATAAGTCCAAAATTTGAAGAATTGTACAATATCAGGTCTGAATTTCAGGTATGACCTTGGATGACCCTTATGTTTTTTATATCTGTCCCTCTTTGATGATATTTATGGTTTTTTAGTAACAAACTAAGCTGTAAAATATAATTTAGATGGATTTTAAGAAGGTTTAAGGATTTTAACAAGTCAAAATTTGAAGAATTGTACTCTATCAGGTCTGAATTTATGAATTTCAGGTAAGACCTTGGGCAAGCCTTATTTTTTTTACATCAGTCCCTCTTTGATGATATGTATTGTTTTGTAGTGTGGAACTAGGATGTAAAAAACAATTAAGATGGATTTTAAGAAGGTTTTAGGATTTTCACAAGTTCAAAATTTGAAAAATTGTACAATATTAGGTCTGCAATTAACACATTTCAAGTATAACCTTGGTTGGTTCTCTTGTTTTTTTTACACCTATCCCTTTTCATGATATATTTGGTTTAGTAGTGTTGAAATAATATGTATGACATAATTTGGATGGGTTTTAAAAAAACTAAATGTTTTAAACAAGTTCAAAATCTTGATGAATTGTACAATATCAGATCTGAAATTAACAGATTTCAAGTATAACCTTTGTTGGCCCTTATGTTTTTAACATCCCTTTTTGATGATATATATGGTTTAGCAGTGTGGAACTAAAAGGTAAAACATAATTAAAATGGGTTTTAAGGAGGTTTAAGGTTTTAAACAAGTTCAAAACTTGACAAATTGTACAATATGAGACCTGAAATAAACAAATTTCAGGTATAGCCTTAGATGAGCCTTATGTTTTTTACATATATCTCTCTATGATGACATATATGGTTTTGTTGTATGGAACTAAAGTGTAAATCATAATTTAGATGGGTTTTAAGGAAGTTTAAGGTTCTAAAGAGGTTCAAAAACTTGACAAATTGTACAATATCAGGTCTGAAATTAACAAATTTCAGGTATAGATTTGAATGATCCTCATGCTCTTTACATTCTAAACCTCTTTGATGATTTACATGGTTCTGTAGTGTGAGACTAAAATGTAAAACATAATTTAGGAATTTTGGGTTTTAAGGAAGTTTAACCCTTATGTCTGCAGGGGAGGGGGGGTCAAATTGACCTAGCCCTCTGTTTTTTAAATGGTACTTTTTGCAAGTTTTTCTTGTGCTATCATTATTATTTTTAGCTTGAGCCACAGATATTTGACACCTTTTGGTGTAAAGATCAAGGTGATTGGGGGTAGAGGTGCAAAGTTATGATAGTCCGAAGTTGATCCCAATAAAAATGAAATTCATGAAATATTGATGGTTACCCTGTTTTTTAATACTATAAAAAATGCAAAATGATGATAATTTCTAGATAATCATTTAGCAATAAGTAATAAATATAAACCTCCTTAAAACCCCGCTCAAATTCCTAAATTTTGTTTTACATTTTAGTTCCACACTACAAAACCATGTAAATCATCAAAGAGGTTAAGAATTTCAGACCTAATATTGTACAATTTGTTTTGTTTTGAACTTCTTGAAAACCTTAAAGAGAGAATCAGATCCAGCAAGCAGCCAAACAAAAAATTGTTTAAATTTTTGAATATTTCTGGCTTATGTCATTCCTTTTCATGTCTATTTGCTAAAAATCCCCAAAGTGCACACTTTAGTGTAGGAAAACTAAAGATTTCTACAATAATGTATTATTTTTCCATAAGAATGGTTACCATTCTTATTATTTTGGGAGTATTTAAACACTTTTCCCCCATTTTTGCACTTTGAATCCATTATAACTTCATCAGTTTTTAACACATCATGAATCTTTTTCAAGATATTGTATTTTAGATTGTAAGGAATAGATTGGTAGGTGAATTGGACATGTTGCTTGTAATTTTATCACCCCTATAGATCTGATTCTGCCTTTTAACTTCCTTAAAACCGATCGATCTAAATTTATGTTTTACATCTTAGTTCCATATTACTAAACCATATATATCATCATAGAGAGATATATACCTGAAATTTGTTAATGTCAGATATGATATTGTACAATTTGTCAAGTTTTGAACAGCTTTAAAACCTTAAACCTTCTCAAAACCCATCTAAATTATGTTTTACCTCTTAGTTCCACACTACTATATATTACCAACCATATATTATATAATAATCATTGAGAGATAGATGTAAAAAACGAACAAGGCATTAACATGACAAAATGTCACCCCCTAAAGGTCAATTTGAAGCAAGTTGAAAACAGACCTTTTTGACCTTTTTTGACCTTGAGAAGGTCATTAAAGGTGAAATGTCAAATCTAGAGTCAGATTTGAATTTCTGAGAACATGTAGATGATTTTGAAAAAAAAAATTTGTCAATTTGAAGCAAGTTGAAAAAAGACCTTTTTGACCTTGAGAAGGTCATTGAAGGTAAAATGTCAAATCTAAAGTCATATTTGAATTTCTGAGAACATGTAGATGATTTTGAAAAAAATATTTAGTCAATTTGAAGCAAGATGAAAAAATACCTTTTTGACCTTTTTTGACATTGAGAAGGTCATTGAAGGTCAAATGTCAAATCTAAAGTCAGATTTGAATTTCTGAGAACATGTAGATGATTTTGAAAAAAAAATTTAGTCAATTTGAAGCAAGTTGAAAAAAGACCTTTTTGACCTTTTTTGACTTTGAGAAGGTCATTGAAGGTCAAATGTCAAATCTTAAGTCAAATCAAAAGTCAGATTTGAATTTCTGAGAACACGTAGATGATTTTGAAAAAAAATTTAGTCAATTTGAAGCAAGTTGAAAACAGACCTTTTTGACCTTTTTTGACCTTGAGAAGGTCATTGAAGGTCAAATGTCAAATCTTAAGTCAAATCTTAAGTCAGATTTGAATTTCTGAGAACACATAGATGATTTTGAAAAAAAAATTTAGTCAATTTGAAGCAAGTTGAAAACAGACCTTTTTGACCTTTTTTGACCTTGAGAAGGTCATTGAAGGTCAAATCTAAAGTCAGATTTGAAGGTCAAATGTCAAATCTAAAGTCAAATCTAAAGTCAGATTTGAATTTCTGAGAACATGTAGATGATTTTGAAAAAAATTTAGTCAATGTGAAGCAAGTTGAAAAAAGACCTTTTTGACCTTGAGAAGGTCATTGAAGGTCAAATGTCAAATCTAAAGTCAGATTTGAACTTCTGAGAACATGTAGATGATTTAGAAAAAAATTGAAGTCAGTCTAAACAGTATTTGTAAAGTTATAGGAAGTTGTAAGAAATTGTTACAGACGCCGGACGCCCAACCTCCAACCACCAACCACCAACCGCCGTCACAAAAAAAACGGAGACCATAACAATATGTCACCACTTTTGGTGGTGACATAATAAGGCCATCCAAAGTTATACCTAAAATTAATAAATTCCAGACCTGTTATTGTACAATTCTTCATATTTTTAACTTGTTTAAAACCTTAAACTTGTTTAAAACCTGTCTAACTTATGTTTAATATCTTAGTTCAACACTACTAAACCATATATGCCATCAAAAAGGGATAGGTGTAAAAAAACATAAGGCTCGTCCAAGGTAATACCAAAAATTCATTAATATCAGCTCTGATATTGTACAATTCATAAAAATTTGAACTTGTTGAAATCCTTAAACTTCTTTAGAACCCATCTTAATTATGTTTTACATATTAGCTCCACACTACTAAACAATATATACATATATCATCAAAAAGGGATAGATGTTAAAAATATAAGGGCCAAGCAAGATTATACTTTAAATTCGTTAATTTCTGATATTGTACAATACGCCAAGATTTTGAACTTGTTTAAAACGTTAAGCTTTTTTAAAACCTATCTAAAATATGTTTTACATATTTCCACACTACTAAACCAAATATATCATGAAAAGGGAATAGGTTTAAAAAACATATGGGCCAACCAAGGTTATACTTGAAATTTGTTAATTGCAGACTTGATATTGTACAATTCTTCAAATTGTTTAAATCCTTAAACCTTCTTAAAACGCATCTAAATTATTTTTTTACATCATAGTTCCACACTACAAAACCATACATATCATCAAAGATGGACAGATGTAGAGAATATAAGGCTCATCCAAAGGTCTTACCAACAATTTGCAAATTCAGACCTGATATTGTACAATTCTTCAAACCTTGTTGGAATCCTAAAACCTTCTAAAAATTCATCTAAATTATATTTTACATCTTAGTTCCATACCATAAAACCAAGAATATCATCAAAGGGGGATATAGATGTAAAATATAGATGTAAAAAACAAAAGGGTCATCCACAATCATACGTGAAATTCAAAAATACAGATCTGATATTATACAATTCTTCAAATTTTGGACTCATTAAAATCCTTAAACACTCTTCAAAACCATCTTAATCATTTTTGCATCTAAGATCCACACTACAAAACAATACATATCATCAAAGAGTGACAGATGTAAAAATATAAGGCCCATCCCAGGTCTTACCTGAAATTCGTAAATTCAGACCTGATATTGTACAATTCTTCAAATTTTGAACTCATTAAGATCCTTAAACCTTCTTAAAATTCATTTACATTATATTTTACATCTTAGTTCCACACTATAAAACCATGAATATCATCAAAGAGGGAAGGATGTAAAAAACGTAAGGCTCGTCCAAGGTCATACCAGAAATTCATAAATTCAGACCTGATATTGTACAATTCTTCAAATTTTGGACTCGATTAAAATCCTTAAACCTTCAAATCCATCTAAATTATTTTGTACATCTTAGTTCCATACTACAAAATCATAAATACCATCAAAAGGGGACAGATGTGAAAAATCTAAGGCTCATCTAAGGTCTTACCTAAAATTCGTAAATTCAGACCTGATATTGTACAATTCTTCGAATTTTGAACTTGTTTAAAACTTTTAACTTCCTTAAAACCTATTTTAATTATTTTTTACATCTTAGTTCCATACTTCAAAACCATATTTATTATCAAAGAGGGATAGATCTAGAAACCATAGGCCTCAGCTATAGTCATACACAAAATCACGCCTCTCAAAAATGTCAAATTTTTCAAAAAATCAACAATTTTTTTTTGGCTCATACTGATTCAATTAATTTGAACCTTTCAGGGCTTATAGGTCTGCTACTGGGCACTTCAGGTGAATTTTTCCAATGTCTTCCAGTGTCTGATTGAAAAGTGAGGCTCTAAATAGTGAGAAAATGGGTCACGAATTTGCCCCCTGGGGTACACACTTTGTACTATTATTCAAATTCTGTAGGAGTGATTGGCATTATTTATTTTTCAAATGATTCATATATATAATGTCTATGTATGTAACTTACAAACATCAAGATATCTAAAGTTATTGAGAATGAAAAAATTATTTTACCGGGGTGGGGTTATTTTGGGGGGTGGGGGGCTAATCCCTGAAAAAAAAGAATTATGTACCACTCTGTGAAGCTATCACCTAGGTAGAATTTTCATCCAAGACTTCCCCCTAACTGAAAATGCTGCCAAACCAACTATACTCCATTTATTAAGAATTTTCCTCCTCGCTCTTAGAGTATTGACAATTTGGGCATTTCTGCAACTTTGGTTAGCTGACTTTGATGACTTTCATCAGATTCATAATTAAAAAACTATAAATAAATAGAAAATAAATAAACTATCATAACAAATAACTAGGTTGGGGCTCATGCAGGTCAAAATGTCAAACCCTGCAAAACCATCGCAAAAAGTTTCTAGTAGAATTTCATTCTTTTAGTGATACTGATACTCTTATGCAATGTGTGACAAGAATTCAAACCACATGACTCAATCAATGTCTTGTATGCTAGCTTTTAAAATCAAAGGCTCATTCAAAGTCTGATACAAAAATTTTGTGCTTCTGTCAGAATTCACTGACTTAAATTCTTTAATACAGTATGAAAATTAACAGAATGTGTCAGCGAAGACATGACACAAACACACTGTAGTCCACTAGTCTGAGTAGTGTCCAATGTAGACTAGTATACTGAGAAGTGTCCAATGTAGACCAGTATACTGTTGAGTGTCCAATGTAGACTAGTATACTGAGAAGTGTCCAATGTAGACCAGTATACTGTATACTGTCCAATGCAGACCAGTATACTGTTGAGTGTCCAATGTAGACCAGTATACTGTGGAGTGTCCAATGTAGACCAGTATACTGCGGAGTGTCCAATGTAGACCAGTATACTGAGGAGTGTCCAATGTAGACCAGTATACTGAGGAGTGTCCAATGTAGACCAGTATACTGTGGAGTGTCCAATGTAGACCAGTATACTGAGGAGTGTCCAATGTAGACCAGTATACTGTGGAGTGTCCAGTGTAGATCAGTATACTGAGGAGTGTCCAATGTAGACCAGTATACTGAGGAGTGTCCAATGTAGACCAGTATACTGTGGAGTGTCCAATGTAGACCACTATACCAAGGAGTGTCCAATGTAGACCAGTATACTGTTGAGTGTCCGATATAGACCAGTATACTGTGGAGTGTCCAATGTAGACCACTATACCGAGGAGTGTCCAATGTAGACTATTAAGCGTTATGGAATCTCATCCGGATGTTTGTTTTCTCTTTCTGCTGATGACTTCCACCTTCTGAATATAGTTTCCTGGAAACATAACATAAACATTACAAAATACTGATGTCAACGAAAGATGGCAAAGTTTTTTGTTTTACATGATTAATTTCATTTTTTATAGAAGTGTCGCCATCTTTTCAATCGAGATTTATTTAAACACATGCACTTTGTCAAGAGTGTGCATGCACTACTTACGATCTCTGAAATCCAAATGCTGTTTTCGATGTAAGTTATTTTTTTCTCACTTCAATATTAATGCAAATCAAGCTTTGTATTATATTTGATTGATTGTGTGAGTAACATGTTTCAATTATTATTTGATCCTTTTTCTTCTAAATTATGCATAGTGCCCCTTTAATATGAACAAATTGCATTCATCTTTGTAATTTTAAGTTTTGATTCCAAAGTAAAATGAATATCAAGTGTTCATAGGCAGAAAATAGAGCATCATGATTTTCAAACAACATATTCTGATTGTATGTGAGCTACATCAAACAAAATATCTCAGATTCAAAGAGTGCAGATAAAGCAGACCTCTGGTGAAGGGTACCATTACTTACCTGTACTTTGAACTGAGGTATATATGCAGGGGATGAGGTCAAGTCCTGGTCTGATACACCTGGGGGTTTTATAACATAGCAAAACATCACCTCCTGAAATACATGTATATAGTATAATGTTAAAACAGTTCTGATGAAGTTTGAAGGTTTATAATTTACCAATGTCTACCTGAGACATAACTGAAGAAATGATTAGTTGTCTGTATCGATCAAGGAAACTGAATACTTCTGTTGTAAACTTTGATACAACAATTAATAACAATCATATATACATCATATGCTCTTCTAACATAGAGGCCCGGGGGGTTCACTGTATATAAACCTTGACGGGGATCCTCGGCACACATGGGGTACCTTTTTTGACATTTGGTATGGCAATGGACCCAAAGTTTAGGATGTGGTATGAGAATGCCCCCTCATTAAACTTTTGATGGATGGAAATGGTCAGATTTTTCAACTTTCTGGTATGAGAATGGTCATGGAAAATATGTTATCTCACAATTATGGTATGGAATTGGTCTAGAAGTTACACATATTCTAATATGAGGCTGTTTTGGTTCGTTTTCCTCAAAGATCGCCTTCTTCTTGGGACCTTCTTCAGTTTAAATAAATAGCTTTTTTTCCCAGGAAATATTCTACTTTGGACCAGTCATGGCATTGGTATGGCATTGGTCCTATATTTTGACATTTGGTATGGCATTGGTTTCATATTTGGGCATTTGGGATGGCTTTTGGGCAAAATATCGGTTGGTATGGGAACACATTCAAATTTGACATTTTGGTATGGGAATATATTGATATCTGAGGGTTCAGCCTAGGACCCCTGACAAATTTTGTACACAATGAACCCCCCGGGCATAGAGGTATCAAAAAGAGGGGATAAACGACCAAAACTTGATCTACCATCTACATGTATTCAACTCATGAAGCCCCTCTATTAATACATAATAACAAATTTGGTTCATAAAACCGTTTGAAGATTTGAACAGTTTGGTAATTTTTATGTACTTCTTACCTTTGATACTTGCTCCGTGATTCTATGCATTCCAGCAATAGTTGTCCAGCTAAGGGGTCTCTTTTCATATTGAGTGTCATCCCTGAATGAGACCCCATCAACCAGTCTCACTAACACAGAGTATGACGAATGATAAAAAGGTGGCCCCTGTTTGTAAACCACTAAAGATGAACAGAAAAATACATTTTAAAAACTTTAAAAGAAACCAATAAATTGTTAGATGAAAATGTTTATCCATGAACCATAACATCTAAAAATGCTGGAAATATGTGCGGTTAAAGAATGTATCTATAATTAAACAAAAAATAGAAAATTCCCGAACATGCATTGTTTGCTCTAATTTTTAAATAAAACTTTCAAATTTCAAAAAAGTATTTACCATATTCTGCCCCATATTTAATTCCAGGTTTTGGACACCATCCTTTACTACGAAAGTTATGGTAGACGATGTAGTTTGCAAGGAAGCTAGGTTGTCTTTTACAAAATATTTGCCACATTGTGGTGACATCTAATGGTTTCTACAAGAGAAATATTCAAATTAGAAATAGTGATTCCAAAGGCATGAAAAGTTAATATTGGGGGGAGGGGGAATGATCTGTGTGTTGAGGGGAATGGGGAATATAGTGGTATATATTCCATGACTATTGTATTGTCTGTAAAACCCAGTTATAAAATTGTTTTTTTAAACAAAGTACTGTTTATCAGACTGATAAGCACATGATAAGCAAATTTGAAGTTAAGATACTTTCAAGAAGTAGGTAAGATAGTAACATTATTCTGTTGAATATAAGTTGAATCAAAGCACAAAAACAATTGAACTGCAATCACCTGCATTCTTATTTCACACGTAAATCTATGAGTTGATAAAATGAAATCACAAGAAATTATCTGATATTCTTAAATTGCCTCATGCTTTTTCCTGGTTAGCATCTATTTTGAACATTAAGCTTCACAATTTGTATGAAATATAACTTTATATTATTACCTGTTGCTCATCATGGACAACTAGACAACCGAGTCCATATGACAGGAAAAATGCCTGGAAATAAAGACAGATGTACAGTTAACAACAGTGAGCCTAAATGATAGGCTAATAAAAATAAAGATGATCTCAAGAAAATGAATATGGGATTTTTCCCCGTAACTTTTTCAGAAAGCAATTTCACTAAAACCACGTAGCAGTTGATTGTGGTATCATATGTCTAATGGGAAAACAAAGATTAAAACAAGCCATAAACATGACACCATGGTGAGTTATTTCAAATCATCACAAAAGTGTTACATTTGTAACAGGCATTAACACCTAAGACAAATACCAGTCGCTATTTATGCCCCATATATTTATACAATTTTTTTAGGTACATGTGAACACTACTTAAATTATGCAATAAAACACACGGTGAACAATATCGCACCCTTGAACAGAAATGGCCGTCTTAACATTTATCCAGAATGTCGAAAAACTAATCAGTTCTAAACTTTCATAGGTAGAAACATCCCTGTGTATTTCAAATGAATCCCTCAAACGGTTTGGCTGGAAACCTGTAGACAAACCTTGACAGACAAGATTTTAGGATGGAAAATCCAAAATGGCCACCTTAACATTTATCCAGAATGTCGAAAAACTAATCAGTTCTAAACTTTCATAGGTAGAAACATCCCTGTGTATTTCAAATGAATCCCTCAAACGGTTTGGCTGGAAACCTGTAGACAAACCTTGACAGACAAGATTTTAGGATGGAAAATCCAAAATGGCCACCTTAACATTTACCCAGAATGCCGAAAAACTAATCAGTTCTAAACTTTCATAGGTAGAAACATCCCTGAAAATTTCAAATGAATCCCTCAAACGGTTTGGCTGGAAACCTGTAGACAAGATTATTCTGGACGCCCGCCCACCCAACCGCCCGCCCGGCAAACTGATTACAATATAGCACCTTAGGGTGCGATAAAAAGTCCTCTTATTTTATTGCCATGGTAAAAGATATTGGCAGAAATGTGTTGAAACTCATGACGTGTTTATATACAACTACTTAATTTTGCGGACTTGCACTATTGAAATGTAATGTAATGGTATATAGCATACTTTACGGTTGAAATATGAAATACTGAATTTGGCGGCTACTTAAAGTAACACATTTACAATGTATCTAAAATCTCAAAAAGTAATAGATATGACTATACATAATGTACTCTCATGTATTGTAACTAAAACTGCAAAGTTTCGACAAAAATTATAAAACTCGGGTAAAGTTATGGTTGCTATGGTAACATGACATCACATTACCCGGGGCAACATTCCAGGCAGAAAGTTTCGCAGACTTTAAGCAATTTGTACATCCCATATTAAAGTTGAAATGCAACAACTAGTGGAAATTACAATTGCTTTACATCATTTGATATTCCTTTGTACCCTCTACTTTGAAAAGTAGGCTCCTCTTTGGTCAGTACAAGAGTAGCACTCTGTATACATAACTCAAACACATGAATGAACCCATTTAAGGACATCGCAGGGTCGATTGGACAACTTGGAGAAGGTCATTCTCATCTTTAAAGGTCTTACCCTACTGATTAGCATTCCATTCTCCATAAAAATAATAAAAAATAGATATGGCATGATCAGAAGAGTATGGTGCATGGTCTTAGACCTCAAGACCTGGATCCTCTATAGCTGCAGTGGTCTTTAATGCTGACTTGCAGGCAGGCGGGTTATTAAGGTGGATGACTGGCTTCAAATTGGGTCTTTTCGAAAAATCAATCGTGAATTGTGCAGACTGTTATACCTAGTAAGTGATATTCAAGGAAATTTAATAAATATTATTATAATGAAATCATACTTGAATATGAGTTGTATAGCAACACCATAACAACAAAGCAACTAATAAAACAAACAAAAATGTTGTACTGTAATAGGTGAATTAGATACTTTCCTTAGTAATACAAAAATGTTAGATATCACATTTTCATGAAAAAGTTGCCCCGGGTATTGTGATGTCATGTTACTATAGTAACCATAACTCTACCCACATTTTATCATTTTTTCTGAAACTTTACAATTTTAGTTGCAATACTTCAAAGTACAATTTGTGAAAATTTGAAGACAATCGGTGCAGAATTGACAAAATGCCAGCACCAGTCCTGTTACTTTTGGAACACCCTGTATGTTCGGCTGTTCGCAGTAAAAAGTTGAAGTCAGTCTAAACAGTTCTTGTTCATTCATTGGAAGTTGTAAGTATTTGTTACAAACGCTGAATGCCAACTGCCGAACACCATCCACAAAAAGTTTTCAGACTACAACAATACTACTTCTGGTGGTGACATAACAATATGATCTCATAGTGCCGAGCTTAATCCAATCACAGTGAATAGGCTTAACTGCTTTATTTAATATAAAAATGTAACTGAGCCTATAATTCAATAATAACAATAACAAATATTCAATAAAGTTGACTAAAAGACTAAAATAATGTACTTTTATCTATATGGTGGTAATTTCAGTATCTCCCACAAATAGCAGAATTAATAATACCCAAATGTCTCTTTGCAAAAGATTGTCTATTTCTTATTTAATTTTGCTGTTAGAGTAAAGTTTAATCTAATCTCAAGCCTTTAGCTCCCCCTCCCTACTAACTAACATACCCACCTAATAACAATATGTCACCACTTTTGTTGGTGACATATTAACCTAAACAAGAGGGGAAAATAGATAATTGGGGATGGCAGAAACTTAGTACTAAAAGCAGGTTTCAGATCTGATTTAGACAAATAACTCCAACAAATTACCTCAAAAATCCCTACGATTAATGGAAGTTTGTTAGCTAATATTGGCAGAAAATTGTTGTAGTTTTCCGACCATGCATTCTGATTGGATAACGGCCAAATGGAAGAATTGTCTTTAATTGACGAGAGTAGAGAAGTCAACTCCTTAAGTAGTATAATGTTAGTCGTTAGGGACATTGGCACAAGTCATTTTAACTCTATTTTCATGTTCATTATCGGAATGATCTATTCATCCCTGCTCAACAATTTGTCATTTAGCATTGACATAAACTCAGTCTAATAGACAGTATTAATCATAAACACATGAATTCAATTCACATTAGAAAGATCACCTGTGCATGAACAAAGATATCAGAGTATCTAATGAAAGTAATAACCCTTTCCTAGAGCTCAACTCTGTCTTAACTCTTAAAATTAGAGACACTATTTTGATTTTTTGTTGCAACTTTTATCTAATTGCATTGTGCAGTTATTATGAACCACATTTTCTGCTTATAAGTAGCTATCATTCATTATGGATTGAAACTGACATAAAATGTTACTAAAGCTACATTTGAGATCAGTAAGATGAGCATCAGCATCAAATCTGTGAAACTGAACTCTTTAGATTTAGTCTTTTTTGTCAAATTAAGCAATAACTCCTTTTATCTTAAAAAATGATAAAATCTACATTTGAATGTGTTAGAACAGCAAGGGTTAGTATTGACTTTAAAAACATGTATACCTCTTCTAGGGTCAGATGAACATGTTCCTCTATGTGGTAAGGATCCCTTTTGCGCACAGCCTCCCAGAAAGGTTTCTCTTCAGTTCCTAATTCATTATCGCTCTCATCAGAATTCTCAACGACTAACAGATTACCATCTTTGTCTTCATAATTACATCTGTGATTAATAACATAATCATGTATTGGCTGATTATGCTCATTACTAATGGTATCATGTTCATCAGTATCATCTATTTCACATGGGGCATCAGTTTCATGTTTGTCAGTACCTTCCTCCATAGGTGTCATATGGGTGGTCGTTATTGATTCTAAATCAGTCACTAAATTTTGGTTTCCTAATTGAGGGTTATCTTTGTGTGTAAGAGTACTGTCTGAAGTGGGAAAAGATTCAGTATCAGATATTAATTTCGTTTCACTTGAATCATTCCCTATATCTCTATTAGAAATATCTACGTTAGTCAAATTATTGATTTTTTCACTCTTAGGATTTTTAACACTTGGTTCTGGTAAACTCAAAAACTCCTCAGAGGTTTTCGTGTCTGAGTTACCCCATGAATCGCTTTCTTCAGTTTTTATTGCACTAGAAACATCCCAGAAGTCTTCAGACACTTTCTCATTAGAATTCGCCCATGAATCAGTTATATCACTGTCATCTATGTGGGAGGAATCCACTTTAGAACAGAAGTTTCTATCAACAACAACTTCCTCCTGTTTTGAATCTAATATTTCTTTACAGTCTCCAGAGTTGTCTATGTTCATCTCAGGACTCTTGGAATCATCAGTTTCTAACTTCTGACGTTTGATGCTGACTATATTTCCACCTGAAATTTTTTTCAATATATATTATTTTCAAATGTGAGATACCTATTACAGTCTCTAATATGATATAACTTAACAGAAAATCTTTTAAGCATTTGAAAAATCATCAGGAATAAAATTATATATTACACATTTTTAAAGGAATAAAACACAAATCTCAAACATTTTGGACTGCCTTCTGAAATCTAAAAATGTTTTGGTGAGAAATTTTGCCATTTTACATTATTGAGCTACAAACCTATAAATGTTAAACATACCATTGCCTTCTGTTTCTTCTGACTTAGGTCCAACCCCTCTTGCATATTCAAGGTCACATTCTCCGTCTGCTCCTATGTTAAGTTCAAGGTCACTCACATAAGACTGAAGAGTTTCCTTTTGATTTCTCCAGGCACATCGTCTTAAATATCTGAAAATACATTTTAACAAAGACATTATAGACCTTATTTATGTTAGAATTCCGATATTGCATTAGAAAACATGTCTTACATGTCCAAATTAAAAAGTAGGCATTTTATATGTGTATAACTTATGACTACTGTTACTACAAATTCTATTGTTAGTACCTCAGTTGAAATACTCTATTTTGATTGGTCAACGAGCGGTGAATAATTTTAACTGTACACAGCGCAATGCATTGCCGGTGAATAATATTCCCAGCATTCCACTAAAATGACGTCATTATCAGACGATAAAATGGCCGCCGCTAGCACTAGCCGTTTCAAAAATGTTGAAGATGAGGATATTATTAGTCTCTTAGAGAGTAAAGACAGTCAAAATACGAAGAAAAATCTAAAACTTTGTACAAAGCTTTTAGTGGACTTCGCCCAGGAGAGTAATTTGACTCCATTGAGTGAACTTACTGCCGTGGCAGATGTAGATAATTTTTTGAAAAAGTTTTACGTTGGTATTAGAAAAAAAGACGGTGGACTTTATAAGTTGAAATCATTTCAGCTTCTTAAATGGGGAGTGGCACGATACATCAGAGAGACACTTAAGATGGACATTACCAAGTCTGAATTCAAGGCATCAAACGATGTTTTCAAAGCGATGGTTGTGGAACTGCAGAAGTCTATCTATCCAACTTCAAGTCAACTTCAAGGGTCAGAAAAATCTAAGATATTCTTCGGACTAACAAAACAATTATAGACCTCTCCATTCGGTTTACTGTCAAAATTATATAATCTTTTTGAACAAGTTAAATCCTGGATTTTATGTGAGAAAAGCAAAGAGCTCATTCATCAAACTTTGAATACATTCGAACTTGAAATTAATTTAGTCTATGATGTTTTATGGTAGCTTATATGCAGACTAATTATGGCAGGACAGTATTAACAAGATGTAAGTAGCTTAGTACAACCTATTTGATGATATTGCCTTTTTCATTAGTTTTCATTTCCTGAGAAAATGTTTTTAATTTGAGTCTCAGCTTGATTTAACAGGTTGACCCCAGCTGGATCTTTTGATGAAAAATCTTTAGAATCATAATAACTTGTGACTGTCCGATTAACTATAGGATACACGTAATTGATGAAGCTTTTATCTTATAACCTGTTGAGACAATGTCACATTGGTCTGTTAAGGGAGTATATCAACAAGACAGATGAATATCATACATTTTATAGGAAAATTCAAAATGGCTGCCCATAAATTTACCCAGAATGCCCCAAACCTAATTAGATCTGATAAAGATAACAGAATGAAGGAACTATTAGACAGATGATAAAATAATGATATCATATTAACCTAGATGAAAGGGTATATGTATCACACTTACTTCTTTGTTGGATAGTAAAATGATTCATTATTTTCTAAAAAAAATAATCAAAATACAAATATTTATACAAATTACAAATGAATAAAAATGTACCTAAAATATAAACATTCTCTCAATTTATGATTGCAAAGTACTTGTGTACTAATTCACTCACCAGTTCAAAGTTTTAAAAGTAATATTCTGATATTTATTTTATTTCCAGAAGGAATAGCTTCATAACTTAAATCCTGGATGATCAATTCTCAAATGGCCAAATGAAAAAATGTAAAAATGTTAACATTCTAAATATTAAATGGTCAAATGCAATTTAAGAATATTACATATTTATATATGGTTCTTTGATTAAATATTCATGTGCAATTTCATAAAAGTTGAAGTAAGCGCAGAGAAGTAAAATAAGTTTTTTATTGAAAGACATACAGTGAAAACATCTTCAACTTCTTTCCATTTTCAACAAAGGCCTCCTGTGTGTTTTCATGAATCTGACAGCTAAAGTAATATACAACAGATTGATATATAGTTACAGAGAGAGCCTTGATGGAGTGAAAACATATTCTATTTAATTAGATATGTAGGAAAACTGTGTACTGTCTTTATTGAATAAAACTAGTTACTTTCTAGAGACCTAATTTATCACTCTAGAAAATTGAGATAAGTTTTTTTTACTTAATTGACATATTCTGTTCTGTACTGTGTCATTCTGTCAAGAAGCTTTTTGATTTTTGAAAGATGCTTGACTGATGATACAGTCAAATTATACAGGGTGTCCAAAAAAGAAAACCTGGATTTAATTGCTTATTTTCAAATATGAATAATAATAGGAAAATTTCACATAGGTTATGCTGTCCTCTTTCTTATGATACCAAAGTCGTCTATTTTCCTTCACTGATGACTGAGTTCTAAGGGATTTAAGTGACCATGTCAGAAATGGGTTTGTGCCACTTTTTCTTTCATGAATGACTGAACAATGAGGGGTTGAAATGGCTATGTCAGGATGGTTATTTGGGGTTATATCAAGGAAACAGTTTACACAACACCACCAAGAAATGTTGATGATCTAAGGACCAGGATTGTAGCAGCAGTGGAGGATCTAAGGGGACAGAGAGAAACATCATCAGGGAGGCAGTCTGAGATGAGATCTAGGGCAGACATTTGCATTGAAAGGAATGGGGTCATGTTGAAGGACCCTGTGGTTAAACAACTTGGACATTGGGAATTAAAAGGGGTTTTAAATATGATATAATATGTGTAATTTTAGTTGGAATAAATCCTTTATTGTTACTTATCACTATGTTATGATGGTAAAATTGACTTGGCTGAAAGTGGCACAACCCCATTTCTGGCATGATCACTTAAATCGGCCTCATTGCTCAGTCATCTGTGGAGGAAAATAGAACATCTTGCACTTGGTATCCCATTCTTGCGCTCTATGCCATCATAAAATACTAAAGTTTGTTCCATAATAACATGTTTTCCCTAGGAAAATCCCGAATCAGAACTTGTCCCAGGAATTTCTCTTGATTTACATTTTTGTTCTATTTTACAACCTGTTATAAAAGTTTAAAATGTTATATGATAAATCAAATTGTATCATTTTATGTCATCATCATTGGGTTGACAATTCGAACTTGAAAATGAATATGTATCTGAAAAAATATTATGGAATAAATATGTTATTGATGGTCATGATGGAATATGAATTTTTTCCTCAAGAAAATATGATATTGGCCTCGAAAAATATCATATTCACACTTGGGCTGCACACTGGGTCAACATGATATATTCCTTGGCCAATATCATATCTTCCCTCGAAATAAAATCCATATTCCAACCCTTCCATAAAATAACCTCTATATAATTTTGTTCTATCAAAAATACATAAAATCTTAAAAAGAAATCTTAACTCCAAAATTACTCCTGGTAAATAAAGGGCTAATTTTCACGTTTGTTTCAGGTTGATTGATTTTAAGACAAAAAATCGATTGAATTAAAAAATTGGTCATGCATGAAACAAACAAAATGAATCACAGAATGATTTATATCCATTCAGTCCAATATCAATGTTGCAATAATCGGAGATCCCCATTATCTAATCAGCTAATTATAATTAATCTGTTTGTAATAATTCCTATTATCACACGGATATAAGGAGTACATCACGATTTCGTGTCATTAAAGAGCAATAATTTCAACTATCATATAATAAGAACACTGTGATCTGTAATATATCTGATAATAATTTGAAATCAATGTTTTGTTTGTACTGAAAAATATGAAAATTATTTCTATTCCAAAAATCGATCATTCTTCCAAAATGTTTGTTCTATGAACAATGGTGTGTGAGTGGTCATGCAGTTATGAAATTGACTTTTGAGATGCCCCCATAGAGAGGACTTTACACATGGACTATCTAAGGATGATGTCCGAATTACAGTATGCCCAGGGAATATTCTTTAAAAGACATAAACTGCTATCTATTGTTCCTTATACTATTTCAAGATTAGTAATACATGTACATTGGCCCGCAAAATACATTTATTATAAAATCAAGGTACATGTACATTCGATTTGAGATCAAGTATTTAGTGAACAATAAGAAATAGATCGCAATTTTTAATTCAACCAGTCATATAACAAAGCTGATGAAACTAAAAGACAGATTGGAAAATTGATACATCCAATGAGAACAAGAGATTATTAATCAAAGCCCATATGTAGTTCATATATCATGTTTTGTGTTTGAAATGACTAATACATGACTATGTCTTTATTTTCATTATACATGGGTTGCTTAAGTTTAGAGTTTCCTGAAAATTACTACATTCATTAATTATCATAGTACCCCACACACGTTTTTGATAATAACTTTGACCCGTGATTTGAACACTCTATCCTTGACTATTTGTTATTAAATTTAGCAGACATAAACTAGAGGAAATATCCAACATTGGAAATTTTTTGTTTTTATTTTACTTCAATAACAATAAAATTACAAGTAATCAAATCAAGGGTGTCATTAATGGGTTTTCACAAAATTGACGTCATAAAATCATTCTATGAATTGTTCATTTTAACAATTTTATTGACTTTTATCTCATTATCTTATCAATATTCATCTTATTGAATTTCATCTGTATTTATGGTACTTATGAATAGTTTATTACAAATCCTACATTTGGAGATTCTATACTTGTCCTAGATCTATACTGTCTGATTGTAATTGTCTGGCTATGGTCAAGGTTGTATGATTTACAGTTTCTTCGGCCAGTTGAAAATGTACTTGTTATGGGCAGATCTTTTTCTTTTCGATAATACTGTCTTAGCGACTTTACTGCCATGTGTCTGCTTGTAGAATTCTCTTCCAGTTGCTCTTTTAAAATAAAATGCTTCGTACATTGAAGGATCCTGCATCTCAGCTAACGCATCATTTAAGGCCATCACACACTCCTCAAAGTTGCGTGGCCCAACTACCCCATGCCCATACTCATCTCTTGGATTTCCTGGCGGTTTCCACCTACATACTCTTTGTTGAACACTATTGTTAAATACTTCACTTGGATTCAACAAATGGCCCTTTGGGGGTAGCATTACAACATTTATTCCAGTATTCAGTAAATTAACCTTATATATAC